ACAGTTAGGATTCAAGAGCAGTATTCAGTGACTCACCATAGTTGGAGCAGTCTGGGTCTTGACAGCGCTTCAACAGCCCATCCACCCTGCCATTCACACATGAACCCAATCTTTAGTCGCGTGTCTTGTTGAAGCACCTCTAAAACATTTATTTGAAAGCACCTCATAAATCTATATTTGAAGCACCTCAAAAACAGCATGACCACAGAACATAAGACACACTCCACGCGTTTTAAGTTAAACCACAAGACCACAAGCTCATACATCCATGAAAGATAAGCAGAAAATACTAAAAACGTGTTTTTTACACACTTTCGAAAATCAGCGCGCATATCCATGCATGTTCAAGCCATCTACTCTCATCGACGCGACTCATCGAAGAAACTCACCGCGGAGCGAGAGGAAGAATTGGCACGCCGCGAAGCTGAGGAGCTTCGCCAGCAAAGCCTCGCAGAAGCACGTGGGACCTTCGCTTGCGCCACCTGGGGAGCTGAGGCTGAAGAAAGTGCCTCCAATGAAGGAGGGTGGGGGAGCGCCGGAGGATGGGGAGACACCGGCGGAACCTGGGCCAACGCGAGCGGCGGATGGGGCGCCGCAACTAGCGCCGACAATAGCGGCTGGGGTACTTTCCGCGAAGAACGAAAGGGGGGAGAGGATGAAACTGAGGCAACACTTGCAGTCGTTCCTCTTGGCCGTCCCCCGCGTCACATTCCACTCGCACCACCTCCTCCTGACAACCCCCCGCGTCGCGATCCATGGGACACCATCATCTGGGGCAACGAGCCGTCAACCCCGCGTCGCACCGTCTACGGACCTGCCCCTGAGCCACGCGAACCCACCTTCGTCCCTGGAACCATCCCCGGGACCAACATCCTGCTCTCTGAGATTCGCGACAGAGAGTTCTTGGCGCTGATGCTGACCACCGCGCCGGAAGAAGAAGAAGCAGAGGGAGTAGCAGCAGAACCTGCTCCTGTACCTGACGAAGACCCTGAGGAAGCACGCGCACGCTACATACGCACCTCCGGCTTTCACGCTGACGATACTCTCTGGCACCAGCGCCTCGGACACCCTTCACGTGCGACGCTGAAAAACTGCATCGACGCAGGCGTCTTCGCTCCTGGCGCACTCCTGCGCCCTGATGGCTCCGAACTGAGAGGCGCGACACATCCGCACAACTGCACCGTCTGCCCCGAAGCTGCGCTGAGCCACCAACCGTTCCCGCTGCTCGAACCTGGAACGAACCGCTACCCCAAGCTACACAAGGTGTACAGCGATTTCCTGAACGTGGGGCATTGCGGAGCCGAGGACGAAATGTACACGCTCACCTTCATCGACGCTGGAACGCGCTACGTGTGGGTCGTGAACGTGGAGTCACGGGACAGAGCCTACGAGGTGTTTCGCCTCTGGCTGGCGCACGCAGAGCGACAGTCTGGGAAGAAGCTGAAAATCTGGCAATCTGACGGCGCGGCAGAATTCAGGAGCAACCAGATGCAAACCTACCTCACGCAAAAGGGGATCGAGCACCACATTTCTCTCCCCTACGTGCACCAGCAGCAGGGCGTAGCTGAGCGGACGAACCGCACGCTAATGACGAAGGTGCGCGCGCTGATGAAGCATTCCGATCTACTGGACCTACGCGATGCACCACGCAGTGCGGGTGCACAACCTACTCTCGACCACCGCCATCACCGGCAATCTGTCCCCGCACGTCAAATGGACCGGGACCAAAGGGGATACCTCCATGCTGCGCGTATGGGGGTGCATGGTTCAATACCGCCCGCCGACTTCAACCATCGGCAAATTCGCCAGCCGCGCGCGCTGGGGGATCCATCTCGGCATCAGTCACGAGTACAAGGCGTGGATCGTCCTGGACCTCCTCAGTCAGAAAATCGCTCACGCTCGCGACGTCATCTTCTACGAGCGCCTCTTCCTCGACCAGTTCCGCCGCGACGAAGAAACGAACGCGAACCGCGTCTACGCGAACGATGGGCACAGCTACGCAACGCCCGAAGACGAAGCCGCTGCAGCAATCTTGGAGCAGGACACGAGGGGCGAGTTCGTGTGGGAAGAACGACGCAGCAGCGACGACGACGACGACGATTCCTCGGGAGGAGGAATGGGCGCAGCAGGCGGAAGCGGAACAGGCGGAAGCGGCAGAGGCACAGCACCACCAGCGCCTCCTGAACCAGAAAGCGATGACGATGACGTACAGGAAGTCATCCCGCAATGTCGCCACGACAGCACTATCTCAGGACTGCAGCTGCTCGGGCTTCACACCGCAACTTCGAAGGCGCCGCGTGTCATCGAGCCCCGTAATCCGCGCGAAGCTCTTTCTGGACCACACAGCAAGGAATGGCGCGAAGCAATGAACGCAGAGATCAAGGCACTGGAGTCACGAGACACCTGGGTGCTAGTCGACCGCGCGGCGATCAAAGGCGCAAGAATCCTCTCGGGGAAGTGGGTCTTCCGCGTGAAAACCGCAGCGGACGGAACGATCGAGCGCTTCAAGGCGCGTTGGGTGGTTCGCGGCTACGATCAGAGGCATGGCATCGACTTTGACCAGACGTTCGCCCCAGTCAGTCGCCATACCTCCGTTCGAATCCTGCTCGCCATTGCAGCTGCAAGGCACCTACCACTCCGCCAGATCGACGTGAAGAACGCGTTCCTGTACGCGTTAGTGGATGCCGTGATCTACGTGGAGCAGCCGCACACCTACGGCGGAGGGGACTCACGCGTGTGCCAACTGCGCAAGTCACTCTACGGGATCAAACAGGCTCCGAGGCTGTGGCAGCAGTACCTGCACAACATCCTGCTTGAAATCGGATTCAAGCAGATGCCGCACGATCCAGGGATGTATCGCCGCGAATTCCGGGGGGAATACATTCTCCTCACGGTGTACGTCGACGACCTGCTTTACACAGGCTCAAACAACGAGCTTCTCGAGCAGTTCGAGAAGGCCTTGGCGGGGCGCGTCGACATCACGTGCAACTACGAGGTGAAGCAGTTTCTAGGCCTCAACATCTCCTACGCGCCTGAGGCCATTCATCTCTCAGCAGCTAAGTACGCAGAGGAGTTAGGGAAGCGGTTCAACATTTCACCTGCACCTCTCTCAACTCCCTACCGAACTCCCGGACCGAACCACAAACCCGACAACAAACCCCTATCCCCTGCTGGGATTCAGACTTACCAGCAGCAGTTGGGATGCCTCCTCTTCGCCTCTGTCACCTGCAGGCCAGACCTCTCGTACATCGCCAGTCAGCTGGCGCAGTACTCACGCAAACCAACGGCTGAGAATCTTCTGGATCTGCAGCGCGCCCTTCAGTTCTTCGTTTCAACGCCCAAGATTGGGCTGTGCTACTCAACTGCACCAACTCCATCCTTCAACCTCATCGGCTATGTGGACGCCGATCACGCAGCAGACCCCGATAATCGACGGTCCAGGACTGGCTCCTGTTCCAACTCGAGCCAACGGGACCAATCTCCTGGAACTCGCAGAAGCAGGAGCTGGTTGCCCTGTCGTCAGCCGAAGCGGAATTCATCGCAGCAACCGCAGCAGTTCGCGAAGGCCTCTACTTGCAGGAACTCCTGCAAGAGGCGAAAATCCCAGCTTCGCCCACATTTCGCCTTCACTGCGATAACCAGAGCGCGATTCGCATCGCGAACAAACCTGGTTTCGTCAACCGGACCAAGCACATTGCGCTGCGGTACTTCTTCGTGAAGGATGAGGTAGACAAGGGCAAGGTCAACTTGACCTACTGCCCGACCGGTGACATGGCAGCAGACTTCCTCACGAAGCGACTGCCACGCCAGCAGTATCAGCACTGCTCCGAACTCAGCGGCGTGGTCAAGCAGGTCAAGTCGAGCTGCAGCCAGGAGTGAAGGGGGGTGTTACGAATAGTAATACTTGAATATTACTGTGCACTCCTCACCGCAGCAAAGAGAAGCACGCAGTATCGCGAATGAACGCGAAGCGTCAGACGGTTGGAAACGACTCGAAGCGTCAGACAGTTGGGACGCATCTGAACCGTCGGAGCAGACAGCATCAGGCAGCTGCAGGCAGGATGGCTTCGGCGGGAACAGTTTCGTAACTGTTCGCGCCGCACGGTTGGGAATGTATTTGAATAAGGGAATGTACCCCTTAGAGTACATGGCTAGCTAGGTCGTTTCATCTCCGCTGTACTCATATTTATATTTGCTGTACTTGCATGTTTTATTCATCTCAAGCATTTACATTCACTCTGCTATTGAGGTCAAGGGCCCACCAACATCACTTCTCTGCGTGCGAACCTTCCTGAGTAGATCCTAGGCCACGATCAACTTCTGATCGCAGCAGTACACAACACAACCATCACACGAAGAAGCATCAGTGATTAGGTGTGTCAGCAGCACAGCAGCACAGCACCCGTCGCTTCACAAGTTCACCTCCCTCAACCCACCACTCATCCCTAGCTCCCCCCCACCATCACCAACATCAGCAGCTTCCACAGTAATCTCCCGCCTCAACAAAAACCGGCTCTCCCTCCCCTGCTCGCCCTCCCCACCCCGTCCTACCTTCCCTCCAAACTCCCCCACCTGCTCTCGCCCCTCCTCCACACCACCCTTCACCTCACCACTCCCACCGCCGCTCCCACCGCCAACCCCACCGGCTGGCTGCTGCAGCAGCAGAAGGAGCAACAAGGGGAGCAGCACAGCAAGGCCTGATACCCCGACAAGGACTTTCTTGAGGAGGGAGGACTCTTGTGCGAGGAGCTGTGCCTCCTGTGCCAGCTGCTGGTCATCTGCTTGGATCCGCGTGAGCGTGGCTCGTAGCGTTTCCACATCGTTAGCCAGTGCTGCTTGCCTCTGCGGAGAGGATGCAGGAGAAGATCAGAAAGCAGGCGAGAGGAAGCAGGAGAGGGGGCAAGGAAGAGAGCACGGGAGAGACCGAGGGGAGCAATAGAGAGCAAGAGTGGGAGAGAGCGAGACAGTGAGTTTGTGTACGAGGAGTCTCAGAGACAGAGTCATGCATGCGCCTCCTGTGCCAGCTGCTGGTCGTCTGCCTGGATGCGCGTGAGCGTGGCTCGTAGCGTGTCCATGTCCCGTGCCAGTTCTGCTTGCTTCTGCGGAAGGGATACAGGGCGTAAGAGAGCACAAGTGGGGGTAAGAGGGCGCCGGGGGGAGCAGGAGGGAGCAGGAGAGAGCAAGAGAGGGAGAGAAAAGGCACGTGAGCTCATGTATGAGGCGCCCCAGAAACAGAGTGTTGCATGGGGGACTGGGATTCCTGTGCCATGCCCCAAAATAAGACACACGCAAACAACTGCAGATTATCACCCCGCCAAGGTCTTCACATCCCATGTGCTTCACACCCCATGTGCGTCACAATACCACAATATCCCGTCAGAAACACATTACCCCATGTCGACCACATTACCTTCTCTCCCTCTCCCACGGCCTTCTTCGCTCGGTCCACCTCATCCGCCAGCCTGGCAGCCAGCTGTTGCCCCTCCGCCACCTGCGCCTCCAGCTGTGCTGCCACCTGTCGCCCCTGCACCACCTGCGTCAGCAGGTCCCCTGCCCTGCCTGCCATGCCCTCCAGCTCCTGCTCCGCTCGCTCTGCATCGGCACTGCAGGGAGGCAAACCGGAGGGAGGGAGAGCGGGGAGGAGTGAGAGTCATTAGGAGCCCTGCCTGTCATGCCCCATCATGCCCTCCCATCCTCCGCCCTGCCTGCCATGCCCTCCAGCTCCTGATCCGCTTGCTCTTTGTCTGCGCTGCAGTGGGGCGGATGGAGGGGGGGGCGGGAGGCGGAAACGCGGGGGTCGTGGAATGGGGATCAGGTATGAGTTGGCAGTGCTGCGGAGGTACGCAAGGGAGCATACACTCTCACTCCCCAACGGATCATACACTCCACTATCCCCCATATTTCACTGTGCTTCTCAGTTCCCTCGACCAGTCGAGACTATCCCAATCCCACCCCACCGCACCCCACCCCACCCCATCTCCCACCCCTCTCACCGCAGGGCGCCCACAACAGCCTCGGCCTCCAGGGCGGCCCTTAGCTGCCTGCCACCATCCTCCAGCACCGCTTCCAGCTCCCTCTCCCTCCCCTCCCAGGCCGGCAGCAGAGCAGGGAATGGGAAGTGCAAGGGCGAGCACCGACTTTCACACTCCCTCAGGGCTCATAGCACAGGCTCCACTCCTTCCTGATTTCACTGTGCTTCCAGATTCTCTCAACCAATTGCGCCCAGCCCATCCCATCCCCACCTTATCCCACCCCACCTCACAACCCTCTCCCCTCTCACCGTAGAGCGCCCACAACAGCCTCGGCCTCAAGAGCAGCACGCAGCTGCCTGCCACCATCCTCCAGTGCCGCTTCCAGCTCCCTCTCCCTCGCCTCCGCCGCTGCCACCTCAGCTTTCAGCTCCGCCACCTCATTCCTTAGCGTGCTGACTAGGCGCGTCATATTCTCCGCCATCTCACCCGCCGCCTTCCTCGCAGCTTCCTCCCTCTGCTCCGTATCCTTCAGCTGCCCGGTCAGCAGCCCAACCCGCTCTCTCACAGCCGCAACCTCCTGCTTCTCTGCATCCACCTTAGACTTGAGAATCTCGCTCTGTCTCGTGACAAACGCGAGCCGTTCTTTCGCGGCCTGTGCCGCCTCTGCTGCCCGCGCCTCCCTCTCCCGCCCCTGCTGGATCGTCTCCTCGAGCTCTTTCACGCGGGCCATGGCTGCTTGCGCCTCCCCGCTCCCTGCGTCCTTCTCGCTGCTCAGCTGTGATACCAGAAACTCCAGCTCCGCAATCTGAGTTGTGGTTGGGGGGGGTTGGTGGCGGGGGGAAATGGGGAGCAGGGTGGAAGATGAAGCGTGAATGGGGCATGGCGCATAGTGCATGGTGTAGAATCTACTCTGTACGTCCTTCTCGCTGCTCAGCTGTGATACCAGAAACTCCAGCTCCAATATCTGAGTCGTGGTTGAGGGGGGTGATGGTGGCAGGGGGGCGGGGGGTGCAGGAGAAAGGATGAATGGGGCATGGTGGATAGTCCTGGCTTTTTTAGGCGCCTCAAAAGAAACTCCAGCTCCGCAATCTGGGTTGTGAATTGGGGAGGGGGGTGGCAGGGGGAGGGGGGGGTACAGGGTGCAGGGTGCAGGGTGCAGGGTGCAGGGTGCAGGGTGCAGGGTGCAGGGTGCAGGGTGCAGGGTGCGGGGTGCAGGGTGCGGGGTGCAGGGTGCGGGGTGCAGGGTGAAGGGTGAAGGGTGAAGGATGGAGGATGAATGGGGCATGGTGGATAGCAGTCATACGTGAAACAACAGATTCAAGAACTGGGAGCAGGGGGGGGTAGATGACGGGTGACGGCAGTGGGTGGAGGACGGGAGGAGGGTGGAGGTTGAATGGGGCATAGTGCATGCGACATGGGCATGGGCATGGGCATGGGCATGGGCATGGGCATGGGCATGGGCATGGGCATGGCATGGCATGGGCATGGCATGGCATGGGCATGGGCATGGGCATGGCATGGGCATGGGCATGGGCATGGCATGGCATGGGCATGGGCATGGGCATGGCATGGCATGGGCATGGGCATGGCGCACCCACCACCCCATCACATACCCACCATCCCATCACCTCCTCACACTCTCCCCACTCCTGCAGCACCTATGCTTCCAGAGCATCAGAGCGCTCCTGACCAGTTTTTACCATCAACTGCAATGCAACCCACTCTGTGACAGCACATCACCCATCACCCCACCCACCACCCCATCACCCATCACCCCATCATCCCACAAACTCCCCCTCCCAGCAGCACCCTGTGCTTCCAGTGCATCAAACCGCTCCCCTGCACGTTTTAGACGTCTCAACAAAACCCGTACCTGCGCTTCCAGAGCATCAGAGCGCTCTTCTGTGACCGTTGCTGCTCTGCGCGCTGCTCCTGCCGCATCCATAGCCGCTTCTGCCAACGTCTGTCCGTGAGAATCGCGAGGGAGAGGGGAGACGGGTAGGCAAAGAAGGGTGGGGAGAGGGTGCAAAGTGGGGGCGAAGAGGGGTCGAAAAGGGGTTGAAAACGGGGCCAAGGGTGGGTGGACGGTTTAATCATATGGACGAGCATGCATGGCTGCTTCTGCCAATGACTGTTGGAAGGATTATCAAAGACTCTGACGTTTACCCCAACAACGTGTGCCAATCGTGCCAATCATGCCCCAATTGTTGCTGGGTACTATGCTCCAACAAATTGTGCCAGGGCACCACAGAACATGCCACAGCACAACACATTCTTTATAAGCATGAGGCAGCAATGAGAGGAGACGCAGCAGCTGCGTCAGCACCGGCGGCAGCAAGCGTGAGACGGGAAAGACGGGGCGGAAGGGAGATAAGATAGCCGACCGACCGACCTTGTGGTGGTCGATTTGAACGCGGGCCGCTGCAGCAGCCTTGTGGAAGACAACCTGACAAAAAAAGATAGCCAGGGAGACACAGGAGGAGAGGACAGAAAGAGTGACATTTGAGTCGACTCAAAAGTCACCTTGGAAGACAGCCTGACAAAGAAGGACAGCCAGGGAGACACAGGAGGAGAGGATAGACAAAGTAGTTTTGGAAAGAAACACCACGAACGAGACTCCAGCATCTTTTTATCACTGACCATTATACCTCAATCACGAAGGCAGTGCTCTACGACAAGGCACACCAGCAGGAGAAAAGGCGCCTGAATTGAAACACGGCCCGACCGTCTCCCCACTGACTATCAGCTATGACGATCACACATTGGAGACAGCAAGCGGGAAGCCAACAGCCAGAGGGATGGTGGCTGCTGGCTGGCTGGCCTCCCCCTTGGAAGGCACTTGGCACTAGGCACTGCCTTCCGAGGCGAAGCAAGGCGGCTGGAAATTTAAATGGCCACTTCCCACGAATTCCCATACCTCAGAGACAGCGGGGTTTGAGTCGACTGGAAACTGAGGCAAGGCGGCGCAAATGAATGAATGAATGGCCGCTTTCCACTGATTGCCATGCCCTACCTCGGAGACAGCGAGGGGGATGTCTGCACTGCCCTCTGCGCTCGCCGCTACCAGCTGCTGCACGTACTGCAGCTGGGCTTGCTGTAGGGCGGGAGGGTGGAGTGGAGTGGAGTGGGGTGGGGTGGGGTGGGATGGGATGGAGGGACATCCCAAAAGAAGGGAAGTGAAGTGATTAACTTAGGCACATTGAGAACTAATACCAGCTGCTGCACGTACTGCAGCTGGGCTTGCTGTAGGGCGGGACGCAGGGACGAAGGGCGAGAGGGCGGGCGGGACGGAGGGAGGGAGGGACGGAGGGAGGGAGGGAGGGAGGGAGGGAGGGAGGGAGGGAGGGAGGGAGGGTATGGCAAGGATGGCAAGGATTGGAGAGGAGTGGAGTCCTTTTCTTAGGCGCATTGAGAACTGCCAGCAGCTGCTGTGGGGTACTGCAGGCAGCTGAGCTTGCTCCATGCGGTCAGGTCAGGAGACAGGGGGGTCTGGCAGGAATGGAGATGACTTTTGAGTCGACTCAAAAGTCTGCTGTGGGTGCTGCAGGCAGGTGGGCTTGCTCCATGCGGTCAGGTCAGGAGACAGGGGGGTCTGGCAGGAATGGAGATGACTTTTGAGTCGACTCAAAAGTCTGCTGTGGGTGCTGCAGGCAGGTGGGCTTGCTCCATGCGGTCAGGTCAGGAGACAGGGGGGTCTGGCAGCGAATGGAGATGAGAAGGGAAGGGAAGGCAAACCAACAACCACACAACCACGCGTAAACACAAGAACCTAATATGCCAACCTCCCCTCTAAACCCAACCACCCAGCAAGCCCACCCCGTCCCACCCCACCCCACCCCACTCCTCTCCACTCCTGCGTACCGCCCAGTCGTCTGCAGGCCCTCCAGCAGCGCCGGTGTCTCTGCGGCGCTCGTACACTGCCTGAGCCATGGCGCTCACACGCGGCGTGTCCAGAGCAGAAAGCAGGTCCACACACTGTGCGTTGGGGGGTGGGGTGTGGGGAAGGGGATTCCTGAGGCGCCTCAAAAGCCGGTGTCTCTGCAGCGTTCATACACTGCCTGAGCCATGGCGCTCACCCGAGGTGTATCCACAGCTGACAGCAGGTCCAGGCACTGTGAGGGGAGGGTGGGTGGGTGGGGGTTAGGAGGGCAGATGGAGAGCAGGTGTGTCAGTCAGCGTGTGCATGCGTAGTTTGATTTGAGTCGCCCCGTGCCATGGCGCTCACCCGAGGTGTGTCCAGTAGCGACAGCAGGTCCACGCACTGTGGGTGGGGAGCAAGAGGGGGGGAACGGGAGGGGGAAATGTGAGAGCAGGAGACTGAGTCGGCCTGAGCTCGGCCTGAGCTCTGCCTGAGCCATGGCGCTCCACCTGCACTGTGGGTGGTGCGCGGGGAGTCGATTTTTGAGTCGACTAAAAAATCGATTTATCACACTGAGCCATGGCGCTCCACCTGCACTGTGGGTGGTGGGCGGGGAGTGGGTGGAGTGAAGGGATGGTGCGTCTGCATGTGCATGTGTGCATGTGCATGTGTGCATGTGTGCATGTGCATGTGCGCATGTGTGCATGTGTGCATGTGTGCATGTGTGCATGTGCATGTGCATGTGCATGTGTATGCGTTGCTCTCTACAGGCGCTCGCACGCACATGGCCCTAAACCCTGAAGCAAGGCTCGCACGCACCTGCTGCCATGGCTGCAGCGGCACAGGGGCATCAGCATTTTGAGACGTCTCACAAACCCAAGAAATCCCAAAAGTGACTCATAAACCCTGAAGCAAGGCTCGCACGCACCTGCTGCCATGGTTGCAAGGGCACAGGGGCATCAGGCACTGCTGTTTCCACCGCTGCACGCGCCTGTGCCAGCGACTGCCGCCCTGCAAACGTGAGAAAGCTGACGGGGACGCAGTGTTACAGACGGGAAGAAGTGAAGCAACAAGGAAGAGAGTGTCATGGATGGGAAGGGGGGTGTTACAGGGGGGCAAGCAAGTCAAGGCGAAGAGAAAGGTAGAACAAGAAAGAAGGAAGTGGGAAGCGGGGCAGAAATAACAAGGGGAGGGGGTGAGTATGAAACGAAACGAACACACACCTGAGAGCGACAAAGGCCGAGAGAGCAGGAGAGGAGGAGCAGAGCACAACACGCAGACCCATGGCTGATAGAGTGCCCACTGCTCTCACTGCCTCGTACACACGCCACCCCACTTGCTGCCCCTGACCGCCCTGCTGCTGCCCCCCCTGCTGTCCCCCTGGCTGTCCCCCTTGCCCTTGCCCCTGCTGCTGCGGGTTCTCTATAGCAGGGAGTGATATGTGCAGTGCTACAGCGCCCTCCCGTGCCGCGGCTTCTACAAACGATGGCCGGTCCAGGGAGGAAGGCTCGCCATCCGCCTGAAGGGGGCGTGGGAGGGAGAGGGGAATGGTGGAGGAAATGGGTGCGCCAGTGCAGGGGAAAAGAGGCAGAGAGTGCAGCAGAGGGTGCAGGGGTGAGAGTGCAGAGGAGAGAGCATTGAATGCACATGCACACCCACACGCCGTATACTCTTGAGATGCCTTCAAAGGGAGATCAGATCACATGAAACGCACCTGCAGCAGCACGACAGCGTCGTAGCCCCACGTGCGCACATACGTCTTTATATCTGCGTCCGTGGACGGCAGATCGCCCAGGTAGTTTCTGAGAATTCTCAAGAACCACCTGCAATGCATGAGACGCACCTGCAGCAGCACGAGGGCGTCATAGCCCCACTTGCGCACGTACGCCTTTATATCCGCGTCCGTTGCCGGAAGATCGCCCAGGCCTAGGCTCTCCGTCACGCCCACTTGCCGCACTGCTGCATCCCCCTCCGCTTCCTCGGTCTCTGCCTCCTTCTCATCCTCCTCGCCATCCTCCCTCCCTGCAATCTCCTCCTCCTTTCCCTCTGCTCCCTTTTCCCCAACTACAACGTCTCTTCCAACCTGCCGCTGCTGCTCCTTCCCCGTCTCCTCGTCCTCTCTGCCTTGCTCTTTCTCACTCCCCGACTCCTCATGCTCCTCCGCTCTCCTCTTCCCCTCTCTCTCATCCCACTCGAGTTTCAAAGTTCCTTCTACCTCCGCCGTAGTACCTTCTGAGACCCCTTCATTTGACGCCTCATGAGTGACTGATGCTGCTGCTTCTTCCCCGTCTGACATCCTCCCGTCATCTGCCTTATTCATTCCTTCAGGCGCCAATGGCAGCGATAGTTCCGTTTCCGTGGCTGCCACGTCATCCACGGCGCCAGGTTGCCGCGCGGGCAGACTGCCACGTCGGACTGGCTCAGTCGGGACGGGTCCAGCTGGACGGGCTTGGAGCGGTTTCCGGTCGGGTCTAAGGGAACGGAACCTGGTACGGTAGGTCGAGCCGTACGCGTGACCGTACGTGAATCCGTTAGCTGTTGAAACGCGTCTGGTAGGGTGCAACGCCGAGGAAGGTATGTTCACCGCGCGGCACGCCATTGTTCTAACGTTTTTTTATTATTGTTAGATTAAGATTTAACGATAAATTTGCTTATACGGGCGGTTTTTGGGAATTTGCCTGGCACAACAAATAGGCTTAAATTAGAAGGAAAATGCTGATTCAGGAGGAAAAAAGAGGATTATAATCGAGGTTCGAGATGCGGCTCACTGGGCGAAAGCAGTCTAATTAACGTGACGACAAGCGCGGAACTAGCGCAAACGACCATGGCCGCGTGCTTTTTTTTTTCTTCCCTCTGTCTCTCGTCTCGTTTTCAACCTCGTCGTCAGGTTTCCTGCACCACGATCGAGCTGATGTGCCTGCGGGAATTAAATCAGCACCTCCGGATAAAGCGGAATGAGTGTATTTTAACCAACGTCGCCCCGTGCTGTTGCAATTAAGGCACGGCACAACGCTGATTCACGCTCAATGTTAGTCGGTCAACCTAATAAGGATGGCTATGGCGCGCTCCTTGCAAGAACTAGTAAGGCTGCTAGCTAATTATCATGGCGCCACAAGATGGCCATAAATCAGGAGCTCGGAGGAAATCGCCACTAGAATGACACAGCATGGAGCAACAAATCCATCCATCTGACTGAACCAGGGCTGTCGCTTGCAGGGCGTTTGCCCTGCTGGACCTTGAATTCCAGGGCTGGGTTGCCCTTGAAAACTGAAATTGATGGGTTGGAAATATTCTTGCCCTGATTCTTTACAGGGCTGATTTCGGGCTCAGGCCCGGTGTGTAAAGGGCAGATTTTAGGCGAGCCCCGGAACAAAATCTCTCGAGACCCCCCTTCCACTCCCCTCCCCCCCCCAACACTCCCTCTCCTTTCCCCTTCGTTTCTAACCTGATTGCATCCAACAAGGCAATTTCGAGTTGCTTGGTTGGGCCACAAATTCAACTCAACCTAGAACTTGTGCTTAAACCAATCACAGCTCGCTCTCTGTGGAGTGGGTGACGGTTAAGGTTGGGTAGAAGTGCACAAGAACTACCCTGAAGGTTGGGTAGTAGATGTGCAGACGATCATCGGTTCTGCAAAGGCTAGGAAGCCTGCAAAGCGTGCGTAGTGATATGACGCTAACTATTTCTCTTTATGTCGTTTTTGCTTGCTTGTCGTTGATCTCAAACGTAGTTGTAAGCTTGGTAGTTGAAATGAGGCTCCCGATTTTTTCGCGCCAAACCTGATTCAAGGGAGGAAAATTTTCCAGCCCTGAAGCCTAAAGGGCCGAGATTCGCCCCAACCCTGCTAAATACAGGGTCATACATGCCGGGCCCCCTGATTTGTCCGGGGGGCCCAAAACGAAACAACAGGCCTGGACTGAACTGAACCAATGGAGCGTGTCGGCTGAAACCAAGGAGACTGTAACGAGCTGAGACTGCAACGGCCTATCAAAACAGCCTATCCCTATCGAGGGATGACGATGTGCAGGACGTGTTCTTGGGCTGTGTCAGAATGCTCGTCGTGTCAGAATGCTCTGGGAGGGGGATGAGGCGACACGAAGCAACAAAGTCTGCCCCTCGTGTCAACGCTGGTACAGTTCATGTACATTTTTCACGGAATGGTTCTGTATCAGTGGAGGGAGAGCTACAGTCCTGTTTCTTGTGCAAAAAAAACCTTGCAGCCCCAAATTGCTTGACTGTCATGCCCGGGGCAGCCTACAGCCCCAAATTGCTTGACCTTGCATGTATCCTACAGCACCCCCCACTGTTCCACATCCAAAATGAGGGAAGGATTAAACCGAGGGCCCATCTACTGTAACGGCTCTCCTATCCGGAGGCAGGAATGTAGGCCAGCATCAGAAAAATACCAAGTCGCTTGAAGTGTCGGATTTGAAAATAAGCCTCTGTGCGAGACATCCACGAGGAACGCGCCCTGAACAAGAAGACATCAAAGTTTGATCAACTCGGGATCCAACCAAAGTCTAGGCTGGTCTCATCACATCATCAGACCCAGCCTAGTGAAAACAGCAAATCCAATGTGGAACTAGAAATTATTATAGTAGCCGGCCTATTTCCCGTCTCTGGCACGTCCAGTATCAGTCATTTTCCGCGCGCGTCGTTGGGATCTCCTCTCCGCTTGTGTGCATCGTACTGAGAGGCCCTCGATCACCATGTTCGCGACGCGATCGCTGTCAAGATCGTTGACTCTGCCGACGCATCTCGCCAAGGACAGATCAACTATCGGTAACACGTCATCGGAGCTTTGGCGATCCTCGGAGGGAGTTCCGGGCCTTTTAGTGGGGCGTCAGCAGCCCAGCGCGAAATCACATCAGCGTGGTCGTTCCGGTCGCAGACTTTCGCATGTCTCGCCAGTCGCGTCGTCGTTTGTCGCCGACCTCCTCAGCAACGAGGTGCGAGCGGCGTCATCTGCCGTCCACTACGAGTCGCTCCTCCGAGCCGCCTTACTGCATCTTAACTTTCAGGCTGCCTTGTGAATCTTGCGACATGGATCACATTAAGAGGCTGTCCCCATTGGAGAACAGCGACTGTTGAGAATATGGTTATGCGACAAGCTTTGAGACGTCTCAAGAATGGTTGAGTGTCAGGCTCCGAAACTTCCTGATCTTCCATATCTTTGCAATCTCTGCTTTCTCCCCACCCTCATCGCGATTCCTCCGTTTTTGTCTCTCGCCTTTCCCCCGTCTGTTATCGATACATCTTAGAGTCCCGACACCCCATCTCCCGACTGCCGGTCTCCCCGCCTCTTCCCACCTTCCTTCGTCCCCACGCTCTTCGCACTCTCTCAACCTCCGCCTCTCTCCCTCCCCTTCCTCTCCATTTGCCCCATTCCCCTATCCGCTTCCCGCTTTTCCCCTTCCCCCTTTCCCTCACCCTCCAGCCCCTAGTAGCAGCGAGCACGGCGTACGTGGCGGCGCAACGTCCATAGCCCGTCACAGCAGCATTTTGAAGCCTAACTCTCAACTCCCATCAACCCCTACCGTCCTCCCTTCCCTCCCCCTTCCCCTTTCTCTCCCCTTCCACCCTATCTCCCGTTCCCCCCTCTCTCTCCCCCAGCCGCTGGTGGCAGCAAGCGCGGCGTGCGTGGTGGCGCAGTGCTTAAAGCCTGTTATAGCGGCCGCAGCAGGGGACGGCTTTAACTGGCGCCTTGTGTTCAAGTCGGGCGGCATGCCCTCCTCACACTCCGCTGTGCGTGCCCTCCCCCTCGCTCCCCTCCCTCGTTTGCTTCCCCGCTCCGCTGCTCCCTTGCTTCCCTGCTCCTCTGCTCTCCTCTTCCCCTGCTTTCTTGCTCCCTTGCTTCTTCGCCCTCTCTCGGCCAATGACCAGTCCTCTTTCCTTAAACTCTTTCCCTCATCCCAAACCACTGCAATCCAGTCCTTCCCTCATCCACGCCCTGCGATCGCCCCACCTCCCTCTTACGTCCACAATACCGCCTTTCCCTGCCCTCCAACCGCCCTGCCCCCCTCTCCCCCATGCATTCTGACTCTGCTTGTGCCCGCTCGTTCCATGCACTGGGCCATGGCAGGTTGTGACAGCTCTGGCCACGTCAATCTACTTCGAGCGGTGAGTCAGCCCACTCACCAGTCCCTCTTCTCTTCCCTCCGCCCGCCCTCCGCCACACCCGCCCGCCCTCTGCCACACCCGCCCTCCGCCACACCCGCCCGCCCTCTGCCACACCCGCCCTCCGCCACACCCGCCCGCCTTCTGCCACTCCCCCACACGCCTTCCTCTGCTCCAGTAGCGCTTCATTTCCGTAAGAGCGATTCTCTGCTTCTTGCACCCTCCCCGTTGCATTCGCGATATCCCACTTTCTCTCCATAACACCCTCCCCACAATCCTCTACCACCTGTGGCGTGCAGTGGAGCATCAGACGCTCTCTTTGGAGCAACAGTAGTGTTTGCCACCATAGTCATGTACGACGCCCAGGTATGGCCATCCGTGCCGGGATGCGGGTGCTGCGAGAAAGAAACAAATGGGAAAGCGAACAAAGAAGAGAGTGACAAGAAATCTGCAACAGTAGTGTTTGCCACCATAGTCATGTACGACGCGCAGGCATGGCTATCTGTGTAAGAGGCACCTCAAGAAAGAAAGGAATAATGAAAAGCAATATAAAAAAGAGGGAATGAATGCAGCAGCGGTGCTTGCTTCTGTAGTTATGTACGATGCCCAGGCATGGTCATCCCCTCTGCCCTCTTTTGTCCTCGTATGTCCTGCCTTCCTCCTGCCTCTCATATCGCCCCTCCCTTGGCCGTGGATTCTGAGCCATTGTTTCACGCTCTGCAATGCACTACATAACCTGTGCACTGCACTTGCTCCTCTGTTGACTGGAACATGGTGCTGCAGGGGGTGCGGGGAGCAGTGGGGAAGCAAGCTCAGGTGATCAACTCCTTGGTTGTGCCGCAGTTGGTTCGCCCTCCCCCTCTCTCCTCCATTCGCAACAGCGCTGCATCCCTCTCCAAAGGCACAGCGGATGTCAACGATCGCCCCAGCGACACCAGCAGCAGCATCAGCAGCAGCAGTGGTGGCGGCGGCAGCAGCAGCAACAGCACCAGCGGCGGCATTGGCAGCAGCAGCAGTAGCGGCGACAGCAACGGTCAAACCGAGGAGCAGCAGGGGTGGAAGAAACTTTTTCCATGGCTGAAGAAAAACAGGGGGCCTGGGCCGGAAGTGGGTCCTGTAATGGACGATCGCAGCGATAATGATGATGTTAGTGATGCTGAGGGCCGCTTGGCTGTGAGGGCAGCAACACTGGATGGGATAGATTGGGACGACAGCCGCATTTCAGCCTACATTAGCCCTAGCAGTTCAGGGAGTGATAGTGAGAGCAGCAGGTTACCAGCAGCACAGCGGTGGAGGCGGTCCAGGTCGTTCTGGGCGGCGGTGTTTAGGGAGCCGGCAGTTGTGGAGGGGGAGGTGGAGGTGCAGGAGATAGGGCAGCTGGAGGGGTGGCGAAACGTGCCGCTCAAGGAATCGGTGGGGCATACCAAGGCTGAGGTGGTTGGGGGTGCGGTGGCTGGTGTTCTGCTCAGCTTGCTCATCGAATTGTTCAGCTGAACCCAGAAGCAGTTAAAATGTTTCTTTGCATGGTCGGTATGGATTATGGATAGTGAGCTAGGGATTTTGTTTGTTAGGACTAGTCTGGGGATGGGGAAGCTAGTGACTAAAATTGTGAAACCCTTGTACCCTATAAGCTGCTATATTAGGTTGGTGCGTTGCCGTGTGTTGAAGACTAAGCCTCAACGTAACTTCTCAGCTGCTGCTGCAGCTGGCGAGGGTTTAGTATAGATGCTATGGAAAAGGAAGCTTAGTAAAATAAACATTAGAAATTTCTGGAATGAAATCTCAACTCACAATCGCAACAAGCGCATGCCGAATCCCCCCCTCGCCTCACCCACGACAATTCCGCCGCAAGTGAAGCAGGCGAATCTTTCGCCTGCGCCTCGATCTGCTTTTGCACGGCAGGAGTTTCTCCAATCACAGCCGGACTGTCAGGCAGCCATCAAAGCCGCGACTCGGATTCTTGAATCAGGCAGCGGCAGCGGCTGGCAGGAACCGTCCATCCAGGAAATTGGCGGTTCCGTTGAATTGACACCGATTCCACTACACCGGGCGTGTCTAGTTGTGTTGAGAATGTCTAGTTGTGTAGGTCGGCGGTGACTCGCTTTGAAGTTGAAGTTCTGCATGTTAGCGCGAATTGTTTTAGTGCAGTTAGGGAATGCGCAGGCGACAAGGTAGAAGTGCACCACTGTTGACCCTAAGTACGATCCGTCCGGAAGCTGTCGCATCTATCTGAACGGCACCTTTAAAACCACGTCTTCTGCTAAGGATCGCGGGGAACTTTGGGAACTAGGAATTTCCATAATCACTCCCAGCCAAGTTTTCCCCTTGTCAGTCCCATTTGCGCCTACTCTACGTAGAAATACACGTAACAGCGCGGCGTGGGGCTCTAGCTACGAGATATCTTCTCCAAATCCATACGCCGTAGAAAGACACATGAAACTTTACATTTTTCCAGCTTCAATCGCGAAAGACACGTAAACCTGGCGCCCTACTTCTCGATTTGACGATTCATAGAATCACGAAGATCCAGCACACCAGATACGACACGGGGAAAAGGCGAAGCAGATAATCATAAGACGCACAGCCGTATTATCTGGGCGGGGGCCGCTCAGCTTGAAGAACGCCGAGGACGCTGAGGCAGGCGAAGGAGCGTTATGGCGCGGACACACGTCACTCGCGAGGACTTGCGGATTGTTACACCGACAGCAGCAGCAGCATCAGCAGCAGCAGCAAGACGAGCTGCGGGAAGGACGGTACTGCTGGTGCTGGTGGCCGTGTGCGTGACGACGAGCCCGACAGTCGCGAATGCCGAGCCATACGCAGGTACCCAGCAGTGCTGCTAAGAACTGTTCACATGCCAAGCACGGTTTAGATGCAAGTCACCTTGATTTCAAATTTCAATGCAAGAAGCGGCTTAGGAGTACGTCGTAGTATGAGCATGACATCGCATTGTATCGCATGGCATCGCATAGCATCGCATGCATTTAGGTTGACTCGGTAGCGATTCCACGTCCTCGCATGTGCTGAGCTGACCCTAACATCCAGCAAAGCAGCAGGGTCAGCAGGGCAAGACGAGTCGCAGGGTCGTCGCTATCTCATTGCCGCGTGTACCCCGCTAGCTGCGGCAAGCATACCTGGACGGACGACTCGTGCGTTATGTCTAGTTTTGAGGCGCCTCAAAAGTAGAGCGGTTCAACTGGTCAACTGGCATCTCACTCCTGCCGTCCTTTGAGACGCCTCAAAAGCCGTCCCCTTCCCTATCTCGCCTTCCCCCATTCCCCACTCCGCCGTTCCCCCCATTCTTTCCCCCTCCGTCCCCCCATTCTCCCCCGTTCCCCCAGACACGGGCCCCATAGACCCGGAGACGGACCCCGCGGTGCTCGCGCGCATGCTTCCGCTCAACGTGCGCGCGGGCGGGCCGTTCGCGGACTGGATCACGGGCGAGCGCGAATGGTTCAACGTCAACTACTACTTCGGCAAGGGCGGTGCGTTGCGTTGCGCAGTGCGTCGCGCCGCGCTCTGCGGCGTGCTTTGCGGGAGGGTTTGCGGCATGCGTTGCGGCGTGCGCTGCGACGAGGGTTGCGGGGGGAGGGGGTGCGGGGAGAGGGTGCGAGATGGTACTGATGCAGGCTGTGAGTGACGAGACGGCGACGTGCGAGTTCAGTAACTCGCGGGGCGGAGTCCGCACGGAGCCATCTCTGCTACCTGCCTGCTGGTAGTAAACTTCTGCCCCATCATCTTTATTTAGGTTCTCAAAACTGCCCCATGCGTCGCCACACGCCTAGCCTCCTCTCCCCTCCCCTCCGCTCTTCTCCTCACACCCCCACCCCCCTTCGCGCCCATCCACTTCCCCTTCACCTCCCACTTTCTCTTCCTCTTCCCCTTGCCCTTCCCCGTTTGCCCCCCAGGCAACGACATGCGGGACACCGCAGCGCAGCAGCGACGTGATCTGGGGAGGGAGGGCGCTCGTTCCGCCTGTTCCTTTCCGCCCTCCCGCCCATCCTCTCGATCCCGCGCGCATTTCTCCTGCTCCTTCTCTTCCCCCCAGGCAACGACCTGCCGGACACAGCACAGCAACGACTTGATCTGGGGGGACGAGGGACGCTCGTTCCGCCCGATCTTTTTCCCCCCCGCCCGCCCGCCCTCTCAATCCCGCGCATTTCTCCCACCCCCCTCCCCATGCCCCCCTCTCCCTTTCCCCCTCCCCCTCCCAGGCAACGACCTGCTGGACACGCAGCGCAGCAACGACGTGATCTGGGGGGGCGAGGGCGACGACGGGCTGTACGGCGAGGATGGCAACGACACCATGATGGGCGGCCCCGGCAACGACCTGCTGTGCGGGGGTGCGTTTTGAGTCGACTCAAAACACGCAACGACCTGCTGTGCGGGGGTGCGTTTTGAGTCGACTCAAAACACGCAACGACCTGCTGTGCGGGGGTGCGCGCGGGGGGGAGAAAGGGGAGGGAAAAGGGGGAGTGGGGAGGGGGGACGGGGGATGGTGGAGGGGGGAGGAAATTGGGAGGGGATGGGCGAGGGGGCGGGACTGACATGGACTGGCTGAGTCGGCGGTTATATAGCCGGAAGCTTGAAAGGGTGGCTGGGTTGAAGCTTGAAAGGAAATGTCCGTTTGGTGGGTGGGCTGTATTCGAGTGACTTTTGAGAATTCTCAAAAGTCCGTTTGGTGGGTGGGCTGTACGGTGAGGACGGCAACGACACCATGCTGGGGGGCCCGGGCAACGACCTGCTGTGCGGGCAGCGGGAGTGGTGCGCGGAGGAGAGGGGAGGGGGGAAAGGGGGGATGGGGGTTGGTGTGTCCATAACTTCCCGTGCTTGCGCTTCGTAATTCGGCCCTCCTTCCTCTCCTCCCTTGCTTCCTCATGCAGCCTCTGGGAGGCTGACATCATACACGGGGAGGAGGGCGATGACACAGTGCTGGGCGACCGAACCTTGTGGTTCATGACCGGTCTCGTGCCATCGCATGCTCACACTCCCGCCCTCCCCCTCCCAACCCCTACCTCTTCCCGCTCAAAATTCTCTTCCAAACTCCCGTTTCCCCCTCCTCCCTCCCTTGCCAACGGTGCAGCGCCCGGGAGGGACATCATATACGGGGAGGAGGGTGACGACACAGTGCTGGGGGACCCGTGCGGCATCGGGAACATCTGTGAGGGGCCCCAGGTGGTCTACAACGACTGGATCCACGTGAGTGACTGGCGATACTGCTGCTGCTGGCCATGCTGCTGCTGGCCATGCTGCTGCTGCTGGCGATGCTGCTGCTGGCGATGCTGCTGCTGGCGATGCTGCTGCTGGTGATGCTGCTGGTGGTGATTCTGCTGCTGGTGATTCTGCTGCTGGTGATTCTGCTGCTGGTGATTCTGCTGCTGGTGATTCTGCTGCTGGTGATTCTGCTGCTGGTGATTCTGCTGCTGGTGATTCTGCTGCTGGTGATTCTGCTGCTGGTGATTCTGCTGCTGGTGATTCTGCTGCTGGTGATTCTGCTGCTGGTGATTCTGCTGCTGGTGATGCTGCTGCTGGTGATTCTGCTGCTGGTGATTCTGCTGCTGGTGATTCTGCTGCTGGTGATTCTGCTGCTGGTGATTCTGCTGCTGGTGATTCTGCTGCTGGTGATTCTGCTGCTGGTGATTCTGCTGCTGGTGATTCTGCTGCTGGTGATTCTGCTGCTGGTGATTCTGCTGCTGGTGATTCTGCTGCTGGTGATGCTGCTGCTGGTGATTCTGCTGCTGGTGATTCTGCTGCTGGTGATTCTGCTGCTGGTGATGCTGCTGCTGGTGATTCTGCTGCTGGTGATGCTGCTGCTGGTGATTCTGCTGCTGGTGATTCTGCTGCTGGTGATTCTGCTGCTGGTGATGCTGCTGCTGGTGATTCTGCTGCTGGTGATTCTGCTGCTGGTGATTCTGCTGCTGGTGATGCTGCTGCTGGTGATTCTGCTGCTGGTGATGCTGCTGCTGGTGATTCTGCTGCTGGTGATTCTGCATCTGCTCCTCGTCCTGTACTGTAGCCACTATTATATCTGCAACTCCCCAACGGCTACACCTCATGCCGCCTATTTTACCCATCCTCTCCAACCACCTTCTGTGCGCCTTCCATATCCAATTTCCTCACACCCTCCCTCTTTCCACTTCAACGCTTCCCACTCCCCCAACCCTGGCACAATGCGGAACCTGGCAGTAGGGGGGAGGGGAGGGGAGGGGACAAGCACGTGCCGAATGTATGGGCGACGACGAGATCTGGATTGTACAGTTAACATTATAAAAAACACATCCTTCCCTTCCCCGCTCCCACCTGTCATCTCCTCTCCCATGTGGTGTGGTACATGGTAGGGCGGGCCAGGCAAGGACGTGCTGAACGGGCAGAAGGGCGATGATGAGATCTATGGTGGCACGGGCGATGACAGGTGGGCTGGAGGGTGCAAAAGCAGGGCGGACGGGGCAAGGGGAGGGCAGGTGGAGCGGGGAGGAGGGAAAGGACTGCTTATGTCTGCTTGTGTCCTTTTACACCCACCCACGTGTCTGCCCTGCACCCACATCATCACTCACTACCCCGCTGCTAACGCCCACCACTCCTCACAGGTTGTTTGGGGGGGACGACAATGACTATCTGAACGGCGAGGAGGGCAATGATGCTCTGTTTGGCGAGGCGGGTAACGACTACCTGGCGGGGGGGCCGGGCAATGACACGCTCTATGGCGCCGCTGGCACCGATACGCTTTACGGCGGCCCTGGATATGGTAATAACGAGTATGATGTGATGTGATGGGATGGGGGATGGGATGGGATGGGATGGGATGGGATGGGATGGGATGGGATGTGATGTGATGGATGTGATGTGATGTGATGTGCTGTGATGTGATGTGATGTGATGTGGTGTGGTGTGATGTGATGTGATGTGATGTGATGGGATGGGATGGGATGGGATGGGATGGGATGGGATGGGATGGGATGGGATGGGATGGGATGGGATGGGATGGGATGGGATGGGATGGGATGGGATGGGATGGGATGGGATGGGATGTGATGGGATGGGATGGGATGGGATGTGATGTGATGTGATGTGATGTGATGTGATGTGATGTGATGTGATGTGATGTGATGTGATGTGATGTGATGTGATGTGATGTGATGTGATGTGATGTGATGTGATGTGATGTGATGTGATGTGATGTGATGGGATGGGATGGGATGGGATGGGATGGGATGGGATGGGATGGGATGGGATGGGATGGGATGGGATGGGATGGGATGGGATGTGATGGGATGTGATGGGATGGGATGGGATGGGATGTGATGTGATGTGATGTGATGTGATGTGATGTGCTGTGATGTGATGTGATGTGATGTGGTGTGGTGTGATGTGATGTGATGTGATGTGATGGGATGGGATGGGATGGGATGGGATGGGATGGGATGGGATGGGATGGGATGGGATGGGATGGGATGGGATGGGATGGGATGGGATGGGATGGGATGGGATGGGATGGGATGGGATGGGATGGGATGGGATGGGATGGGATGGGATGTGATGGGATGGGATGGGATGGGATGTGATGTGATGTGATGTGATGTGATGTGATGTGATGTGATGTGATGTGATGTGATGTGATGTGATGTGATGTGATGTGATGTGATGTGATGTGATGTGATGCCATGTGATGTGATGACATGTGATGTGATGATATGTGATGTGATGTGATGTGATGTGATGTGATGTGATGCCATGTGATGTGATGATATGTGATGTGATGTGATGTGATGTGATGTCATGTCATGCCATGTGATGTGATGACATGTGATGTCATGCCATGTGATGTGATGCCATGTAATATGACTTGTATATTCCCACTCTAAACCCGACCCCCTCTTCGTTTCCTCGCAAGCACTTTTCTCTCAAACGCCCCAGTGCTCTCCTTTCTCTCCTCCCACATTGGTGGGCCTTCTTTCTTCTCTCGTGTCTCATTCCGCCATGCACCTGCTCCTTCCTCATCCCTCTTTTTGCTCGTGCTCGTGCAGACATCTTGAGAGGTGGCGGCGGCACCAACATATTCGTTGTGGACGCCCAGCCATGCGGCTCCTTTGACCAGATCCGATACTTTGAGTCAGTATATCGCACCTACTTCCTCTCCTCCCAACTTATTGTTTTCTTAACCATTACCCTCCTACTAGCTCGCCCTCCTTACACTCCCCTTCCCTCTCTCCCACCTCCTTTGACCCACTTTCAGCTTTCGTTCTCTACTGCTAGTCACTGCCGTTTCCTCCTACCTACTCCACGTGATTCCTCCACTCACTCCCTTTCTCCTCCACTCACTCCCCTTCTCGTCCACTCACTCCCCTTCTCCTCCACTCACTCCCCTTCTCCTCCCAGGCCCAAGAACGGCGATCAGGTCATAGTGGTGGCTGGAGGAGGAGCGGCAGGCAGGGAGCTGCTCAAGAAAGGCAGAGCGGTGAGAATGGGTGCTGTGCTGTGTGCTGTGCTTGTGATGTGTGAATCGTTCTGTGCTGTAGACGTGAGTGCGAGACGTGAGTGCGAGACGTGGGTGCAATATTTTCTCGCCCAAGACGTGAGTGCGAGGGCATGTACATGGTCGGGGCCATGCATACATGACCGGGGGATGCATGCATGCATGCAGCAAGCAAACTGGTGGTGGCCTCACCATCTCCGCTCTCCTTCTCACCCCTGTGTTTCCCCTCCTCCCTCTCAGGCAGTGACAGTGCAGACAGTGAAGCATGTGACGGGCGTCTATGTGCAGGGGTGTGCGAAGCCCATAGCGGTGTTCACAGGGGTGGACATTCCCGCTGCTCCCATCGCCAAGGCACTAAAGCTGCATGCCAACCCCCCGCCGCCCCCCTCCTGGGTCGTGGTAAGCTGCTGTTCCCCCCTGCCTTGCCTCTGCTTCCTCTTCTTCCCCTCCTTCCTCTCCTTCTTCTCGTTCCTCTCCTTCTTCTCCTTCCTCTCCTTCTTCTCCTTCTTCTCCTTCCTCTCCTTCCTCTCCTTCTTCTCCTTCCTCTCCTTCTCCTTCCTCTCCTTCTTCTCCTTCCTCTCCTTCTTCTCCTTCCTCTCATTCTTCTCCTTCCTCTCCTTCTTCTCCTTCCTCTCCTTCTTCTCCTTCCTCTCCTTCTTCTCCTTCCTCTCCTTCTTCTACTTCCTCTCCTTCTTCTCCTTCCTCTCCTTCTTCTCCTTCCTCTCCTTCTCCTTCCTCTCCTTCTTCTCCTTCCTCTCCTTCTTCTCCTTCCTCTCCTTCTCCTTCCTCTCCTTCTTCTCCTTCCTCTCCTTCTTCTCCTTCCTCTCCTTCTCCTTCCTCTCCTTCTTCTCCTTCCTCTCCTTTCCATTCCTCGCCTTCCTCTCCTCTTTCCCAGTCCGTCCCTTCCCATCCTTCCTCCCCTTCCTTCCCGCTTCCCATCCGCTCCTGTTCTTTCTCTCTACTTCCTCCTTCCTTTCCTCACTTCCATCTTCCCCCACTCTGCACACCCCCCACCCCGCCCGTCCCCCAGGGCTACATCCCTCCGCCCATCCCTGGCAAGAACGGAGTGCCGCCCATCCCCCCTGACAACGTGTTGCAGGGCAGTCCGTTCGGGGACAACCTGTACGGCCTCAACCACTCCAAGAAGGTCAGTCTTGCCGGCAGGCAGGCACGCACGCAGGCACGCAGGCAGGCATGCAGGCAGGCGCACATACAACCCACCCCACTTTATTGAAAGCTTCTTGGAGTTCCGTACCACCTTGCAACCAACCTATCCTGCTGCCCTGAGACGGTGTGCCATGCCATCCAGTCAGTCAGGTTCTCTGAGGGAAGGGGTCTGTCCGACCCCGACACCTCTCAACCGCCCCACCACACTCACCCCCCCACCCGCCCCCCCCCTTACCTTTTTCTCTCCCCTCTCTCCCTGTTCAGATCGGCAATTTCATGTTTGGGCTGTCGCTGAACGACAAGCTGGTGGGGGGCCCGGGGCCGGACGTTATACTGGGCGGCAATCACAACCCCACAACCCCTTAGCTTCAACCTCTCAACCTCCGCCACCCCCACTCCCAACCCCACTCCCACCCCCACCCCCACCCCCACCCCCACTCCCACTCCCACCGTCTTTCATTCAGATCGGCAATTTCATGTTTGGGCTGTCACTGAACGACAAGCTGGTGGGGGGCCCGGGCCCGGACGTTATACTGGGCGGCAATCACAACGACACCATCATTGGGGGCGCTGGGAACGACCGACTGGTGCGTGCAGAGAGGGGGGGAGGGGGGTGGGATGGGGGGCAAAGGGAAGGAAATTAGCTGGTGGGAGGCGTGGGGCCAGATGTTATACTGGGCGGCAAGGCAACCACAATGACACCATCATGGGGGGCGCTGGGGACGACCGACTGGTGAGGGGAGGGCGAGGGGGTGGGGGTGGAGGAGTGGGATGGGCGGATGGGGAATGAGAGGGAGAGAAGCTGGTGGGCGGGCCCGGGGCTGGATGCTATACAGGGCGGCAAGGCAATCACAACGACACCATCATTGGGGGCGCTGGGGACGACCGACTGGTGCGTGCAGAGAGAGGGGGAGGGGGCAATGGGGAAAGAGGGGGAGAGAGGAGGGGGGAAATGAAGAGAAAGGGAGATGGGTAGGAAACACAATGACAGCACCATTGGGGGCGCGGGGGACGGCTGACTGGTGCGGCCAGAGGGCGGCGGAAGGGGAGGGTAAAGGGGGGATGGGAAAAGAAGCGTGGAGAGAGCATGGGGAAATGGGGAGAAAGAAAGAAAGAAAGATGGGTGGCAGCACCATTGGGGGCGCGGGGGACGGCTGACTGGGAGAACAAGGACGGGTTGGGGTGGGGAGCGGCAGGGGGGAGGGAGGAGGAAAGAGAGGGTAAACATGGGAGAGGCGAAGGGGAGAGGGGAATGGGGGGCGTTTTTGGCCAGTCATCCTTGATTCGACTCGTATTTCGCGGAGATATGTGTTTTGGGACATCTCGATTGTTCTCTCCTGCACCCTCCCACTTTCCCACCCTCCCATCTTCTCATCTTCCCATCCTCTCATGTCACCCCCTCGCATGTCCTCCTCTGCAGTCGGGCGGGTCGGGATACGATTTGATTCTGGGCGGCGCGGGCCGGGACGCGCTGTTTGGCGGGCACAACGTGGACATTCTTTACGGAGGGGGGTGGGGCAACTGGATCACTGGAGGGGACTCTGCAGGTGGGTGTGTTTGAGACCGGTCAACGTTTCCCGCTAGGCGGGTGTGTGTTTAAGACCTCCGCTTCTCCGTTACCTGTTTCTCTCCACTGCCTGCCTCTTTTGCCCTCCTTCACCCCTCTCCCCCTGTGTTCTCTCCCTCTCCTTCTCTGCCCTTCTCCCTTGCGCCCTCCCCACCCTGCGCCCTCCCCACCCTGCGCCCTCCCCACCCTGCGCCCTCCCCACCCTGCGCCCTCCCCACCCTGCGCCCTCCCCACCCTGCGCCATCCCCCTCTGCACCCTTCCTCCTCTCCCCCCAGACAAGATCTACGTGGATGCGCCCAGAAGCTGCCAGGCCACAGGGCCCGCGCCTGATATTATCAATGACTATGACACGGACAAGGTGGGTAGATGCATGCACACGGACAAGGTGGGTAGATGCATGCACACGGACAAGGTGGGTAGATGCATGCACACGGACAAGGTGGGTAGATGCATGCACACGGACAAGGTGGGTAGATGCATGCACACGGACAAGGTGGGTAGATGCATGCACACGGACAAGGTGGGTAGATGCATGCACACGGACAAGGTGGGTAGATGCATGCACACGGACAAGGTGGGTAGATGCATGCACACGGACAAGGTGGGTAGATGCATGCACACGGACAAGGTGGGTAGATGCATGCACACGGACAAGGTGCGTGCATGCCACGCACGTACACAACTTATGAAGCACCTCAAAAGTGAGACGATTTTTTGAATATGTGCATGCACGCAGGGGTTACACGTGTGCTGGCCGGGCCAATGGGCGATGGTGTGATGTGTTTTGAACCCAGCATCGGCATGGCCTGCATGCCGCTCATGACATGCTGCCGGTGGTGTGACGTGTTTAGAGGCGACTCAAAACGCGGTGATGTGATGTGATGTGATGTGATGTGATGTGATGTGATGTGATGTGATGTGATGTGATGTGATGTGATGTACATGACGAATCCGAACTCGACAAAGTGCAGGGCTCCTTGAAAATTGCCTCGACCCCCTTCTCGCTCCCACCTCCCCTTCCCTTCCCCGCTCCCTTTCCCCCTCCCCCCATGGCCACAGATATTCATTGTGGGCTCTCTCACGTCCCTCTCTCAGCTCTCCATCGCCACCACTACCTCGGGCACCACCATTGCTCTCAAGGTAGGTACCTACCTAAACTACTACCTCTCATGCTCACCTGTAAGTGCGTTCTGAGTCGACTCGAAACAACGCCCCTGGCAGCGCTATCACTCACAACGCAAGGTACCGACCTAATCTACTCTCAGTCACATCACATGTTCCATTGGGTTTCTGTGGCGAGGGGCACACTCGATGCTCTTTTGCTCTCTCCCTCTCTCTGCCTTTCGTCTGCTTTCATGGGAATGGGCGCTTCCATAGGCATGCTTGGATAACATCGGCTCATGACCCCACCTTGTTTCTTTCTCCTCTAGTATACTAATTGCCCATTAGTATGGTCTTCTTCTCTGCTTTTCTTCCCTCCCTTTCTCCCTCTCTTCCTACCTCCCTTCCTTCCTCCCTCCCTCCCTCCCTCCCTCCCTCCCTCCCTCCCTCCCTCCCTCCCTCCCTCCCTCCCTCCCTCCCTCCCTCCCTCCCTCCCTCCCTCCCTCCCTCCCTCCCTCCCTTTCTCCCACCTCTTTCCCTCTCTCACTCCCCACGTGCAGGGCTGTGCTACCCCGTTCATCTTTGTGAGAGGGGTCTCCAACCTGCCCACTTCCAACATTTTCTTCACTACCCCGGTACACTCACGCCGCCCTACGTTGTGCACAATTATATACATAGTTGATGTGCCGTGCCGTATCGCCTTCCACAGCATAGCGTATCACTTTGCATTGCAGCGCATCATCAAGACGCCCCGTGTGTTTCGGCCGTACAAGCCATACGTAGTTACGCCGGCACACATCCGATCCAAGGAAAGTCTGGCACACACAATCACTCATTCTGTCTCTCTGAAAACTTGTTCAGCATACAAAATTTCACGTGCCCCAACAAATTCATGTCTTACTACAGGATGGCATCCCTACAAAACCCTGAAAGGATGGCTGCCAAGTCAATCCAAGTCAATCACCATTGTGAAGACATGTCAGGCTTGCAGAATATTAATTGTGCGTGTAATTATCAGATGTTCTACATTATTGATTTATGATTGCATGTTTCATAATGGAAAAACTCAGCATTGCCTTGTTGGATCTGTGTGGATTTGATAGGCACCCACTATAACCATTACCACTGCCTTGTTGGATGCGCGTGGATTTGATAGGCACCTACTATACCCATCACCCAGGATTTTCTACATAGGTGCGTACTACGCGCTTCAGATTTTCTGTTACTGTGCTGAATCATTGAGTCAAAGCTTATACAGTTCCAATTTAGGTGTAATGTCCGAACCTTCTAAGGCAATCAGCCTAAAAAATATTGTGAATCGTCTACTGATATCATAGCCGCCAGCTACAAACGAATCAGGAATATCTGCTTTGAGCGAATCTTTTGAGCATCCTCGGTTCAATCCATGCTCTCTCGCATTCCTCATGAACACCCACCAGCCCTATCCCTATCCCACCGTGCACCAGATCCACCCGTAAAACCCTCCTTTGCACGCCAGCCGTCCGCTTTTGCCGGCGAGTTGTTCCTGATCCCACCGCCTCACTCGGTGCGGTGCGGTTGCCCGCCTTTCGCGGTGTTGTTGCGCGTCTGTCGCGCCGTTTTTCGTCGTCGCGCGCAGCACCTCGTCGCATTGGCTGTCGATAAGGTTCTCTGTCTTCCCCTCTCCCCCTTCCGCCCTTTCCCCCTCTCCCCCTCGTCGCCTTCCCCCCGCTCCCTCTCTCCCCTTCTCCCGCACTCCCCATCTCTCCCGCTCTATCTCCCCCTCTCCCGTCTCTCGCGAACCTGACTCGGCGCTCGTGCACGCACCTGTTTCCCGTTGCTCTCATCTCTTTCTCTGACCAGATCATTCTTACGCTGCCTCTCGCGCCTCTCGCGCCCCTCGCGCACAATATTCCGCTTCACCCTCCGCTGCTTCCGCCGCGCCTTCTAAATTGTCTGCCCCTCACCGTCCGCTGCTTTTTCTGCTGCCCTCCTCTCCTCTCTCTACGAACCCTTTCCGACCCTCCCTTCCGTCCCTCCCTCTTTGCCCCTCCCTTTCCGCCCCTCCCTTCCGCCCCTCCCTTTCCGCCCTTCCACCGCGTCGTCTCTCCCGCACTTCCAGATCGCTGTTTCTGAACGCATCTTCGCGCGATCCACCTGTCAACACCGCAATGGCCAGCAAATCTGCGGCGCCGCCGCCCGCCAGCACAAGCGGGAGCGCCAGCGCCAGCGCCGGTTCCGGCGGGAGCGGCGGAGGCGAAATGGCGACGATCGACGCGGTTGCGGCGGGAGCGGGCAGCTGTATCGGCCTGGCCGTCGGCTCCGCGATTAGCGGCGGTGCCATCGGCGGACTTTTCGGGCTGGGTGAGTGCATGGCGCTGGACGCGCGCTGTCCCATGCGACGCGACGCGTGCAAGGGGCGGGAAGGGGAAACGGGAAGACGCGGGGATGTTGGAAGGAGAAAGGTCGTTCAGGGGAAGGCCAGGGAGGGAGGGGAGTGAGGGGAGGGAGGGGCGGAAGGGGAGAGACGGGAGGGAGGTGGGGGTTGTGTCCGGCGTGGTTTGACTCTTCAGGGGCTGGGGTTGCGCTGAAAGAGAGCGCTCGAGTTGTCGAGCTTTGGAATGAACAGTGCGAACTCTTTTTTATCCCCCACCCTCCCCAGCCCTCCCACGCCCTTCCCTTCCTGCCGCCCTCTCGCCCCCCCCCCTTTCCTCGCCCTCTCTCTTCACCTCGAGTACCCCACTTTGCTGACGTGCCCTGTCGTTGCTTTTCGTTCTCCTTGTCGCACCGCCTACTCATGACATTCGTTCTGAGGTACCTCATCGTCCTTTCTACTCTACTTTTGAGGTTCCACATTCCACCACCCCGCCTCCCCCCGCCCCTCTCTCCCCGCCCAATCCTTTGCCAAATGCACTCGTGCACGCATTATCGGGTGCAATGCGCGAAGGTCTGTGCACGCTCACATGCTCACACCCATATTCAATCACGCCCACTCACACCCACTCATACCCACTCCCGCACTCACACTCTCGCCGCTCTTTCCCCCCAACCCCCCTCTCCCTTCCCCGCCTTCTCCTCTGTCTTCTCCTCGCTCTCCTCTTTTCCCCCCTTCCTTTCCCCAATCTCCCCCCAACCACCGTCAGTGTCGGGTCTCTTCCGCCGCGAGGGCTTTAAGAAGGCCATGTCCGAGGCTGGGGCTTCCGGCCGGGTAAGGGACGGGGCTAGGGGAAGGCGGGGGGCGGGAGGGGAAACGGGCGCAGGGCGCAGGGGGCGGGTGGCGGGGCTAGGCAGGGCAGGGCGGGGAGGGGGGCGATGGGCGGGGATTTGAGATACGATGGGGAGCGTGGCTGATTTGGTTGGTGTGGAGTGGATTTGCTGTTTGTATGCCGAGAGAGAAAGTTCGCTCTGCTCTGCCCAACCGTTCTGCTGCTCTGGGCTTTTCGCATTCCCCTTCCCCTTCTCCTTCCCCTTCATCTTCCCCTTCCCGTTCCCCTTCTCCTTCTCCTTCCCCTTCCCCTTCCCCTTCCCCTTCCCCTTCTCCTTCCCCTTTTCCTTCCCCTTCCCCTTTTCCTTCCCCTTCCCCTTTTCCTTCCCCTTCCCCTTTTCCTTCCCCTTCCCCTTTTCCTTCCCCTTCCCCTTTTCCTTCCCCTTCCCCTTTTCCTTCCCCTTCCCCTTATCCGCCCTCCTTACCAACGTACGTCCGTTTGTCCGTCCCCCTGCCTGTCAACCGTTGCGTTTCCTCCGTCTCTTGAGCTTCTCTGGTTCTTTCTATTATTCTCTTGTTCCACCATACTCGTTTGCCCGTTCGTCAACGCCCCCTCCCCCCTTCCCTTTTATACGTGCAACACCACATGCATCCATGTCCCGTGCTCATCTATCCGCATGCGCCCGCCCTCTCATCCCGCCCTCTCATCCCGCCCTCTCATCCCGCCCTCTCATCCCGCCCTCTCATCCCGCCCTCTCATCCCGCCCGCTCAACCCGCCCGCTCACCCCGCCCTTTAGACCTTCGCCATCATGTCGGGCGTGCATTCGCTCGTCAGCGCCTCGCTTAAGAAGATTCGCGATAAGGACGACGGTGCGCGCACACTGCCCTCTTGCACTCCCGCATGCCCCCCTAGATGCACTCCCGCATGCCCCCCTAGATGCACTCCCGCATGCCCCCCTAGATGCACTCAAGCATGCCCCCCTAGATGCACTCCCGCATGCCCCCCTAGATGCACTCCCCCATGCCCCCCTAGATGCACTCCCGCATGCCCCCCTAGATGCACTCCCGCATGCCCCTCTAGATGCACTCCCGCATGCCCCCCTAGATGCACTCAAGCATGCCCCCCTAGATGCACTCCCGCATGCCCCCCTAGATGCACTCCCCCATGCCCCCCTAGATGCACTCCCGCATGCCCCCCTAGATGCACTCCCGCATGCCCCCCTAGATGCACTCCCGCATGCCCCCCTAGATGCACTCCCGCATGCCCCCCTAGATGCACTCCCGCATGCCTGCCTGCATGCCCCCCCCCTTTGATGGTCGTGTGCATGGCGGTCTGCATGCATGCCTTCTTATCTCGCGTGCACCGTGGATTCTCTCATCCCCACCTGCTGCTGGCCTCTTCCCTCCCTCCTTCCCTCCCTGCCTGCCTCCCTCCCTCCCTCCCTCCCTCCCTCCCTCCCTCCCTCCCTCCCTCCCTCCCTCCCTCCCTCCTATTTCTAGCCATACCATTACCCTCAACGTTCTAGTACACACGAACACACACGCTATGCCCCACACACATTGTTCCTTCCCTCTCATGGCCTTCCCGCGCACACTAGACCAACCGTCTCCCCTCTCTCTCTCTCGCCCCCTCTCCCCCCACTCCCCCACGCCCCCGCCCCCCCACACCCCCTCCCCTCCCCCCCAATCGTATCTACCCGCAGTGATCAACCATGCAGTGGCGGGGTGCGCCACCGGAATCGCCCTCGGCTGGGGAGGTAAGACATTTCCCAGACGTGCTCATGGGGTTGTTAGGGCGGTGCAATGGGCTGATGGGAGACTGGCGGATGGGGATTGAGAGGGCTGTGGAGTGGGTGCTTGCGGGGGGGTTGGTGTATGAGGATAGTTGAGCAACCATTACGATGGGAATCCATGGTCATGCCTCATGCCTCATGTCTCATGTCTCACGAGTGGAGAAGGGGTACTGTTTTCTGTAGTTAGGTTGATGTGCATAGTGCACAATGCACATTCTCTGCTGAATCCCATTCGATCCCATCCCATCCCATCCCATCCCATCCCATCCCATCCCATCCCATCCCATCCCATCCCATAACGCCAGGCACGCCAGTGAGCATGCTGCAGAACTGTGCGGGCTTTGCTGTGTTTGCTTTCATCTTTGAGGGCATGAACCCGCCACCGCAGCCCGCTGTAGCAGCCGAGCTCAACCTCCTGGGCCTCTCCCCTCCACACGCCCACTGCAGCAGCAGCAGCAGCAGCAGCAGCAGCAGCAGCAGCAGCAGCAGCAGCAGCAGCAGCAGCAGCAGCAGCAGCAGCAGCAGCAGCAGCAGCAGCAGCGAGCAGCAGTGTGAACTTCACACTGGTGACTTGTGTAGTGTCTCCTCCTGCTCCTACCCCTCCTCGTCCGCTTGCTCTGGTTCTTCGTCGATCTCTGCTGGCTCTGCTGCTGCTGATGCCCCCCTATGCCGCAGCGTAAGCAGTAGAGCTAGAAGACAGGCGGCAGGCAAGGTTCGCCACGGCTACAGCAACGGCAGTTGCCCAGTCGTCTACTCGCCGCAGTGCCACCAGCAACACTTACTGACAGTTCTGCCGCTTTCGCTCTCACTCCCACTCGCTGCCCAGATCACCTCGTCCTCCGCATATCACTTTTGAAGGCTCGCCAAAAAACCACCCCAACGCTCAATGGTGCTGTGCTGCGACTCCTGCTCTACCCACGCACTTTCTCTTGCTCTCACTTGCTTTCGCACCAATCCACACCACACCGCACCCCTCCACACTGCTTTCAGTGATCGATTCTCAAGACCTGTCTTCAAGGCTTGGGGAGAAGGCACCAACTGGTGCTGGTAGCTCTGTTCCTAAGTTTCTCTGTGATTTGTTGAGATGAGCAGCAGCTGAAGATTGAACTGGTAGTGGTGTGGCCTTTCTGACACTGCTTAGCACAACCACATCCCTGGAGCCCAGGGATTGTGTGAACCTGAAGCAATGATGGTCTCATGCTGATAGTGTTGTGTAGAGGAGTTAGGCTGCATTGCTTTATGCAGTAATTTTGCACCACATACATATGAATTCCGCTTATGGTGCCATGCCATGGTGTTGTGATCCTTGATTAGTGAACCATGGTGTCATGTCACGATGAGTCATGAGGCACAATACGGTAGAACTGCACTGCCCATGTGACACCGTGAATCTTTGAGGTTTACAGCAAAGCGCCCACGGCATCACCTCCATCCCCATCGCTCAGAAACATGCATCATGTGTACTCCATGCAATACAGAACCAGATTTTGCCCAGAGAAATTCAGCCAGTCAATCTTCGGGCTGCCCCCAAAATACCGGCACAAGGCTGAAAGATACTCCACTAGATCCGCATGCGTCTCCACTTTCTTCATCTGCCCGCCCACAGCCACCATCCGGGCAGAAAACCGGCCCGGAAAAACACAGCAGGGGACCACCGCGAACGGAACCTTGGCTCGGGCAGCGGCAAAAACTATATCCCCCGTGACCTCATCAGGATGGAGGCCCACAAAACAAGAAAACTTTGAAGCTGCCCAGGAAGGGTCAGCAGCGGAAAATTCCTTTTGGATAGAGTGGGGTTTCCAGAGGGCGCCTGAGAGATAGGCTCTTCTGAGGGCCTTCTTTGACTGGTGGGAGGAGGGGGTGATGGCGGGTGATGCTGCTGCTGCTGGTGCTGGTGGTGCATTTGTTGCAGCTGATGCTGCTGCTGCTGGTGCTGGTGGTGCATTTGTTGCAGCTGATGCTGCTGGTGCTGGTGCTGGTGGTGCATTTGTTGCAGCTGATGCTGCTGCTGCTGGTGCTGGTGGTGCATTTGTTGCAGCTGATGCTGCTGGTGCTGGTGCTGGTGGTGCATTTGTTGCAGCTGATGCTGCTGGTGCTGGTGCTGGTGGTGCATTTGTTGCAGCTGATGCTGCTGGTGCTGGTGCTGGTGGTGCATTTGTTGCAGCTGATGCTGCTGGTGCTGGTGCTGGTGGTGCATTTGTTGCAGCTGATGCTGCTGCTGCTGGTGCTGGTGGTGCATTTGTTGCAGCTGATGCTGCTGGTGCTGGTGCTGGTGGTGCATTTGTTGCAGCTGATGCTGCTGCTGCTGCTGCTGGTGGTGCATTTGTTGCAGCTGATGCTGCTGCTGCTGGTGCTGGTGGTGCATTTGTTGCAGCTGATGCTGCTGCTGCTGGTGCTGGTGGTGCATTTGTTGCAGCTGATGCTGCTGCTGCTGGTGCTGGTGGTGCATTTGTTGCAGCTGATGCTGCTGCTGCTGGTGCTGGTGGTGCATTTGTTGCAGCTGATGCTGCTGGTGCTGGTGCTGGTGGTGCATTTGTTGCAGCTGATGCTGCTGCTGCTGGTGCTGGTGGTGCATTTGTTGCAGCTGATGCTGCTGCTGCTGGTGCTGGTGGTGCATTTGTTGCAGCTGATGCTGCTGCTGCTGGTGCTGGTGGTGCATTTGTTGCAGCTGATGCTGCTGCTGCTGGTGCTGGTGGTGCATTTGTTGCAGCTGATGCTGCTGCTGCTGGTGCTGGTGGTGCATTTGTTGCAGCTGATGCTGCTGCTGCTGGTGCTGGTGGTGCATTTGTTGCAGCTGATGCTGCTGCTGCTGGTGCTGGTGGTGCATTTGTTGCAGCTGATGCTGCTGCTGCTGGTGCTGGTGGTGCATTTGTTGCAGCTGATGCTGCTGCTGCTGGTGCTGGTGGTGCATTTGTTGCAGCTGATGCTGCTGCTGCTGGTGCTGGTGGTGCATTTGTTGCAGCTGATGCTGCTGCTGCTGGTGCTGGTGGTGCATTTGTTGCAGCTGATGCTGCTGCTGCTGGTGCTGGTGGTGCATTTGTTGCAGCTGATGCTGCTGCTGCTGGTGCTGGTGGTGCATTTGTTGCAGCTGATGATGCTGCTGGTGGTGCATTTGTTGCAGCTGATGCTGCTGCTGCTGGTGCTGGTGGTGCATTTGTTGCAGCTGATGCTGCTGCTGCTGGTGCTGGTGGTGCATTTGTTGCAGCCGATGCTGCTGCTGCTGCTGCTGGTGGTGCATTTGTTGCAGCTGATGCTGCTGCTGCTGGTGCTGGTGGTGCATTTGTTGCAGCTGATGCTGCTGCTGCTGCTGGTGCTGGTGGTGCATTTGTTGCAGCTGATGCTGCTGCTGCTGCTGCTGGTGCTGGTGGTGCATTTGTTGCAGCTGATGCTGCTGCTGCTGCTGCTGGTGCTGGTGGTGCATTTGTTGCAGCTGATGCTGCTGCTGCTGCTGGTGCTGGTGGTGCATTTGTTGCAGCTGATGCTGCTGCTGCTGCTGGTGCTGGTGGTGCATTTGTTGCAGCTGATGCTGCTGCTGCTGGTGCTGGTGGTGCATTTGTTGCAGCTGATGCTGCTGCTGCTGGTGCTGGTGGTGCATTTGTTGCAGCTGATGCTGCTGCTGCTGGTGCTGGTGGTGCATTTGTTGCAGCTGATGATGCTGCTGCTGCTGGTGCTGGTGGTGCATTTGTTGCAGCTGATGCTGCTGCTGCTGCTGCTGGTGGTGCATTTGTTGCAGCTGATGCTGCTGCTGCTGCTGGTGCTGGTGGTGCATTTGTTGCAGCTGATGCTGCTGCTGCTGCTGCTGGTGCTGGTGGTGCATTTGTTGCAGCTGATGCTGCTGCTGCTGCTGGTGCTGGTGGTGCATTTGTTGCAGCTGATGCTGCTGCTGCTGCTGGTGCTGGTGGTGCATTTGTTGCAGCTGATGCTGCTGCTGCTGCTGCTGCTGCTGGTGGTGCATTTGTTGCAGCTGATGCTGCTGCTGCTGGTGCTGGTGGTGCATTTGTTGCAGCTGATGCTGCTGCTGCTGCTGGTGCTGGTGGTGCATTTGTTGCAGCTGATGCTGCTGCTGCTGCTGGTGCTGGTGGTGCATTTGTTGCAGCTGATGCTGCTGCTGCTGCTGGTGCTGGTGGTGCATTTGTTGCAGCTGATGCTGCTGCTGCTGGTGCTGGTGGTGCATTTGTTGCAGCTGATGCTGCTGCTGCTGGTGCTGGTGGTGCATTTGTTGCAGCTGATGCTGCTGCTGCTGGTGCTGGTGGTGCATTTGTTGCAGCTGATGATGCTGCTGCTGCTGGTGCTGGTGGTGCATTTGTTGCAGCTGATGCTGCTGCTGCTGCTGGTGCTGGTGGTGCATTTGTTGCAGCTGATGCTGCTGCTGCTGCTGGTGCTGGTGGTGCATTTGTTGCAGCTGATGCTGCTGCTGCTGCTGGTGCTGGTGGTGCATTTGTTGCAGCTGATGCTGCTGCTGCTGCTGCTGGTGCTGGTGGTGCATTTGTTGCAGCTGATGCTGCTGCTGCTGCTGCTGGTGGTGCATTTGTTGCAGCTGATGCTGCTGCTGCTGCTGCTGCTGGTGCATTTGTTGCAGCTGATGCTGCTGCTGCTGCTGGTGCTGGTGGTGCATTTGTTGCAGCTGATGCTGCTGCTGCTGCTGGTGCTGGTGGTGCATTTGTTGCAGCTGATGCTGCTGCTGCTGCTGGTGCTGGTGGTGCATTTGTTGCAGCTGATGCTGCTGCTGCTGCTGCTGGTGCTGGTGGTGCATTTGTTGCAGCTGATGCTGCTGGTGCTGGTGCTTCCACCTCTTGCACTGGTGCTGCAAACAATGCGGATTCTGTTGGTCTTGTCGCTTCTCCCACTACTGCTTCTTCATTTATTGCTGCCGCTTCTCCTGCTGCTGCTACAAACGAATCAGGCACTCTGCACCCTCCCTCTCCCTCTCCTTTCTCCCCATCCCCCTCCTCTGCCCTCCTCCCACCTTCTCCTATCAACCCCACACCCCCGTTCCCCACTTTCCCACATGACCCATTCCCCACCCTGCCAACGCCCATCAGTTCCCGTACCTGTTTCTTGTTCAGCCGCACTCCTCGCGGGTCAACCACAGTCGCCCGCACCCCATGCCTCTGCTCCAATGCAAACGCCAACGCCCCCCTCCCCCCTGCCACGTCTAAAACCCCCTTCCCGCCGCCCCCTTCTTTCCTGCCGTCCCCCATCTCCCCGTTGCCCCCTCCCTTCACCCCCTCTCCCCTCTCCCTGTCATCCTCCCTCTCCCCGTTTCCTCCCGGCCCCCCGCCTTCCCCCATCAGTCTCCCCCGTCCGAACGTCCCCACGAGCCACGCAGCAAAGAGATCCGCGCGCACCTGCTTCCCCCGCTTCCCCTCCGCGCTGTGCGGGTCCCGCTCCCCCTGGCTGCAGCAGTGGCGGCGCCGGTGCTGCCTGTGGGCGATCCAGTGCAGGCGCAGCAGGGGGAGCAGCGCGGGCGGCGGGTGCGCGCGCGCGCAGAAGGGCGCGGCGGAGCAGTGCGCCGAGTTGAGGTAGTGCTTGCAGAGAGAGGAGAGGGGCGGGGCGGAAGGGGGGAGCGGGGGGAGGGCGGAGAGGTGAAGGGTGGGTGATGAGGGAAGCTGGGAAGAGGTAGGGGAGGAGGGGAGAGGGGAGGAGTCAGGAGGAAGCGGAGGGCTGCTTGGACTTAACAAGGAAACTCGGGCTGAAGGTTTCAGGGTTTGAGGTTTATGCTCTTCTTCTGACCTTTGCTTCTCGCTCCATTCCCCCTTCCCTCCCATGCCCCCAATCTCCAATCCTCCCTCGCCTCCCACTCCTCCTCCTTCCCCTTCCTTCCCTTCTTCCGCTCCCCCTTCTCCGCCCTCCGCTCCTCCCCAACCGTCGTGTACCTCACCCGCCCATTCCGCCTCCCCCTCCCCCTTCCGCGCGCCGTCGCTCCCCCCACCGCCGGGCAGGTTCTCCCAAACGCCCCACCCAGGCGCCACTATGGGCCAGCCCAATACATCCGCGCCTGCGCCAGCCCCAGCGGCTGCGCTTGCCCCTGCGCTAGCATTTCCGCTTCCCCGACCCTCCTCCCCGCTCTCCTCCGCACACTCCCCCTCCGCCCTTCCGCCAGCCGCGGCAACGCCGGCGGCGGCGGAGGTTAGCTTGTCGGAGCCGGCGGCTGGGAATGCGGTTAATGACGCTGCGAAGAAAAGGGGCAGGCGGAAAGTCGCGGGGATTTGCGCGTCCTCGTTATTAGCCGCCTTGATAGGAGCCCTAGTGGGTTGCAAATCTACCAGGGGGCCGCGGAGCGACACGAGCCGGCCTACGTGCGCGTGGCGGGCATTTGCGCGCACGTCCGGACATGTGGGATGCTTCAGCGCAACTTCTAGCGTGCCGCTGACGTCAACTACGGCGGAGCTGACGTCATTCACGCTAGCCGCCGATGAATCCCGCTCGTACCGCTGCTGCTCCTCTTGCTGTTGCTCCATGTGCTTCATATCGCGTTCGTTCACATCACCAACGGTCATGATCTCGACATCCAGAAACACCAATCGACGGCTCAGGCGTCTTACTCGCACCACGCGCGCCACCTCCACACTCCACTCCACCTCGACATAGTGTCCCTCGCTACATTCACTCAAGGTGGAGTTCTCATCCAAGGCCGCTACGACCATCGCCTCAGCACCGGCTCCAACCGACTGACGCTCTCCACCATCCGATCTTACTCGAGACTCCTCAGACACGTCCGATGCGACGATTGCAGGTTGACTGGTTTGAAACTGATCGATATTTCCATTAGAGATCCTATCTCCGGTATTGGGGAATTGATTGCTCCCTTCTGGCGCTGTCGTTTCTGCGCCGGTTCCTGGGTTCAGGGTTCCGGGTTTAGGCGGAAGTAGCAGTCCACGCGCAGCCAGTTCAGCCTGCGACCTCCGCGGGCACGCGGAAAGGTCGATGCGGGAAACGGAGGGGGAGAGAACGATCCGCGGTACGCTACTCATGGTGGTTATTTGTTTTACTCTTGCAAGTCGTTCTGAAATCTAGTTAGTCTCTCAGCTTTCTGTCCAGGCGCTGGGCCGGTGGCACAGATGCCCTGACAAGACCAAGCTCTCAGTGATAACACAAATCTTCGTGAACACGGGTCGAGGATAGCCGTTGCCACATTCTGGATAACGTGAACGAAAGCTGATTCAAAGCAATGGCAGAATGTTATACGGGGTACAATTGAGCGAAAGGTGTGCATACAAACAGATTGAGCAGAACCGCAGTACTCTTTCCCATCTCACCATAACCAACCAAACCACGCTAGAAATCATTAGTTCAACAGACCAGATCCCATGGGGTAATCATTCACGCCAGACCACAATATCAGGATTCACAGCAGACAAATCTGGGAGTTGCCTTTTCTCATCCTCACTAGTCTCCTCTCTTCACGCTTCCGTTCCACTGTTGTCTCCCACACCATTCCACTAGCATTGCAAGCGTGGAATAATCTCTCCGACTGGCAGCACAATCGACGCGACACATTCCGCTGCCGTTTCGCCTTCGGTTTTCGCAAAGGCGTACGGAAGCCGCTCGTCGCAATGACGTCAATGTTCGTCCACTCGAGAGCTTTGTTGTTACAGCAGCGTGAGTCTCAGGCAGCATCTATGTGGCCGTTGGCATTCATTCATTCATTCATTCATTCATCCGTTCATTCGTTCACTCACTCATTCTTTCACTCACTCACTCACTCACTCACTCACTCACTCACTCACTCACTCATTCATTCATTCATTCATTCATTCATTCATTCATTCATTCATTCATTCATTCATTCATTCATTCATTCATTCATTCATTCATTCATTCATTCGTTCCTCCTTCGCCTTTTGAAACGCCGCGACCTGTTCTCGCACTGCCATAGGCTCGTTGCGCTCACATCGCCGTGCATGGTCAATGTCGCTGAGCCTGTAACGCTGAGCCAATGACGCTGAGCCAGTGACGCTGAGCCAATGACGCTGAACACCGATGTCGTTCCTCTCATCTTCTTGAAACCAATGCCGTATGACCATTCTCTTCTGTTTCGCTCCATGCCTCCCTACGCACATACCAAGTCTGTCGACGCGCTTTTCAGTTGCGTTCAGTTTGCATTTCCTTGCAATACATTTACAACTACGCAAGCTAAGAAACATCCATCTCAGAGCGTCCCATCTTTCTTCCACCCAGGACCTGCAAATCTCCAACTAGGATGCCTCGCCCTACGGCGATCCTATCTCCCACCCTTTCTCGTCACCTCACTCTATCACGTTTCAACGCCACTCTCCAGCCCCCTTTCTCCTCCCCGGTTTCAACTCCCTTGCACATCCAGATTCCGTCCTTTCCCTTCGCAATCCCTCTCTTTCAAACAAGCATACACTTTCCACCTCCTCCTCTGTCCGCTTCGGTTTGTGTGCAAAGCGACACCACACTGTAACAACACGCTGCACCGCCAACAGCAGCAGCGGCAGCAGCAGCTCCGCTTCGGACGTGCGCACGTGCCGCAACTGCAAGCAGCCCTTCAGCCCCGCTGACAACCACCCCATGGCCTGCAGACACCACACGGCACATTACGGTGGTGAGCGGCACTATAGTGGTGAGCGGCACTATAGTGATGAGTGGCACTATAGTGATGAGCGGCACTATAGTGATGAGCGGCACTATAGTGATGAGCGGCACTATAGTGATGAGCGGCACTATAGTGATGAGCGGCACTATAGTGGTGAGCGGCACTATAGTGGTGAGCGGCACTATAGTGGTGAGCGGCACTATAGTGGTGAGCGGCACTATAGTGGTGAGTGGCACTATAGTGGTGAGCGGCACTATAGTGGTGAGCGGCACTATAGTGGTGAGCGGCACTATAGTGGTGAGCGGCACTATAGTGGTGAGCGGCACTATAGTGGTGAGCGGCACTATAGTGGTGAGCGGCACTATAGTGGTGAGCGGCACTATAGTGGTGAGCGGCACTATAGTGGTGAGCGGCACTATGGCGGTGAGTGCACATGTTTCCCTCAATCTCTTACATCCATCCCCCGTTTCTCCGTACCCCGTTTCTCCATACCCCCTTTCTCAGTTCCCCATTTCTCTGTCCCCACCCCCCCCCCCTTCTCTCTCGAATGTTCCCCATTTCTCTGTCCCCATTTCTCTCTCTCTCTCTCTCTCTCTCTCTCTCTCTCTCGCTCTCGTTCTCTCTCGCTCACACACACACACACACACATACACACACACACACACACACACACACACACACACACACACACACACACACACACACACACACACACACACACACACACACACACACACACACACACACACACACACACACACACACACACACACACACACACACACACACACACACACACACACACACACACACACACACACACACACACACACACACACACACACACACACACACACACACACACACACACACACACACACACACACACACACACACACACACACACACACACACACACACACACACACACACACACACACACACACACACACACACACACACACACACACACACACACACACACACACACACACACACACACACACACACACACACACACACACACACACACACACACACACACACACACACACACACACACACACACACACACACACACACACACACACACACACACACACACACACACACACACACACACACACACACACACACACACACACACACACACACACACACACACACACACACACACACACACACACACACACACACACACACACACACACACACACACACACACACACACACACACACACACACACACACACACACACACACACACACACACACACACACACACACACACACACACACACACACACACACACACACACACACACACACACACACACACACACACACACACACACACACACACACACCACACACACACACACACACACACACACACACACACACACACACACACACACACACACACACACACACACACACACACACACACACACACACACACACACACACACACACACACACACACACACACACACACACACACACACACACACACACACACACACACACACACACACACACACACACACACACACACACACACACACACACACACACACACACACACACACACACACACACACACACACACACACACACACACACACACACACACACACACACACACACACACACACACACACACACACACACACACACACACACACACACACACACACACACACACACACACACACACACACACACACACACACACACACACACACACACACACACACACACACACACACACACACACACACACACACACACACACACACACACACACACACACATGCACGCACGCTCCCTGTTCCTCATCACCCACTTCCCTTGGTGGCCCTGCCACTCCGTCCCCCCTCATCCCCCTCACAGGTGAAACCAAGCGCAAGTTTGAGAGTGTGTACACGGGCGGGACAATGAACACAGTGGGAGGAGGTGAGATCACCGCATACTGGCACTGCTGTGGCGCCACCGACCCCTTTGATCCAGGCTGTGTGGCCGGGCCACATGAGACATACGATGACTGATGGATGGGCAGCAGGAGGAATTTGCAAGAATGGAGGAAATTTTGGGAAACGGTAGCTCAGCTTGTGCAACTGTTGTAATTTCCCCAGGTATAAGCTCATGTACCGTCATCGCCCGGATATAAGACATATATGTCTTATCTCGTACACTGGCAAAAATGCTTGAGTTATCTTGTAAACGGGATGGTTTAGGGTGTCTTATAAGTCTTATAAATGGAAACTTTTTAAACTACTTGGAAATATTTTCGTACTTCTTTAAAAAGAGTTTCTCATAATGCGTGTGGATGTTGCGAAGGTGCCACTTCGACAACCTCTGCCCGAGACGCCACGTTATGGAGAACACCTGCAGGGGCAAATTTGGTAGGTCCTGGGTCAGCGCGTGGAAGAATTCGCGCTTCGCAAGGGTAAAAAAGTACGCGGTACTTCAACTTTCGCTATAATTTATTGAAGTTTCGATTATAAGACATATATGTCTTATCTCATACACACAAATAGGTGTCTTATAATGAGGCTAGCCTGTTTATAAGAGACACCCGTATAGTAGACAACCCCTGTCTACTATTCAACACTGTCTTATATCCGGGTGATGACGGTACGCTCATAGAAGATTATGGAAAAGGCCGCATGCTCCTTATATTGAGTTTAAAACATGAGGCTCAAACGAATAGCATGCACATATATTCCAAAAACATGAGAATGTGGGGTATGAGATGCTGGTTCCAGCAACAGTGCATTGGGGTCAAATCAATCATGTAAAATGCCTGTGATGTGATGTGAAGAATTCGCCGGCTCAAGCTCACAGCAATGGTTCCTGATCCCGTTAAAGCCCGGGGTCAGCATGGTAAATTTTCAGGTTATGTGGATTTGAAATAGGCAGTAGGTGAGGGTGTGCGAAACCTACGGTATTTCGGCATGAAGGCTGTGGCGAGAATTATGTTCCTCCGCGAGCACGTACCAGGGCTTTTTTTTGGATTTTCACTACTCGGATTTTCAGAGCTGTTTTCTAGGCAACTCTGAAATCCAGGGATCATTATGAGCTTTACTATGATTTATCAGAGAAAAATTAACTTCTGAATAACATATTCAGGGCAGTCAGTGTATCTACTTTTCCAACTGGGTGTCCTCTCAAGTATTGAACCCAAGCCTTATGAATTCCTACCAAACTGTGACCGTTGTGCTACGCGCTCAAGAATTAGCTTTCTCACGCATATATTGAAATGCCTATACTCTGTACAGAGAAGAATACATTCGCCACAAATATACACTGGTCTATCAGTGTAGCTAAAATCAAAACCCTGACAAATAAGAGAAAACTTATCTTCCAGAAAAATTACCCAGATACGTCAGAGTGACCCCCTAAAAACCACTCTGATTTTCAGAGAAACAGAGTATTTTACTCTGATAAAAAAACCCCTAGCACGTACCCATTTCGCTCACACCAAACCAGCGATACCCACCGGCCCTGTGCAAAAATTGAGTCGCATGAACAGACACTCAATCCAATCAGAAGGTTTCACACTCTTACCGGTACGTACAACCAGGGCTCTTGCTAGGATTTGGGCCTGTCTGACATACCTAAGTAAAAAAACCGTTCCGTCTGACGTTCAGACGGGCATATTTTTTTGGTCTGATTTTTTGGACGAATGTTAAAGCTTAGTCTGATTCTTCATACGATTCAATTCGCACAGTCTGATTTAGCTAACACACTTGTCTAACATAATCACGCTTGTTTTGTTAATGAACGCGCCCCTGGCGCGGTGCTGACAGCTCGCTAGCTGACAGACAGCTGTGTGGCTATTGAGGGGCACGCACATGACAATGAGGGGCTGCGACGCGAGGGATCAGGGTGGGTGGAGGTGGAGGGACGCGTAGGGAAGGGGGGGCTGGGCTGCGAGACATTACGAGGGGCATGAAAGCGGGCTAGGCTGGGAGCGAGACCTGGAGAGACCTCAGGTTGGGGAAAGGGGGAGAAGGGTTGGACAGGACTAGGCCTGGAAGAGGAGCGAGGGCATAGAAGGGGGGGCTGAGCTGGTAGAGTAGCGAGAGATCGGGGGGGAAAGGGAGGGTTGGGGGGAGGGGGATCGGTATCAGACGAAAAACATCTCGTTCTCTGAAATTTCAGACTAAGTATCAGGGCTGACTATTCAAAAAAATCCAGTCTGATGTTCTGGGGGCTCTGAAATTTTTTAGTCTGAGGCATATTTCCCAGAGAATGGCCACTCTGATTTTTCAGGTTCCGCAAAAACACAAGTCTGAAGTACTCAGAACACACTACAACCACTGCAGTACAGCACTGCCACAAATGTAGCACGTGGGGCGCAACGCTAACCAGTTTCCCTCGCTGACACCGCGTAGCTGCAGTGATGGTCCCGCGTGAGTGGAAGAGTGAGCCAAGTTGGCAGATTTCTAAGGGAAAGGGGTGGCAAAAGTTGCCAAGGACAGATTCTGCGCGTGACAGCGCCATGAAATGTGCTCGTACACTGGCAACATATGACGTAGCGGAATGTACGTAGAAATCACAGATCCGCATTTCAGGATCCGTACTCCCTGTAGTATGAAGACCCATTATCGGCTAAGTCAGTACTCTGAAAATCTCAGGATCCAAAACCAAGTAAGTCTGAGGCACTCATGTTTGAAAATCTTACAAGTCTGAAAAATCAGGATCCGTAGGAAAATACCCTGAGATTTCAGACAATCAGACTATTTTAGTCTGATAAAGTCAGCCCTGCTAAGTATAGAGCTTGCTCTCAAATATCAGATGAACTAAAATCAGTCATCTTACGGATCAGACGAAATAAAAAGCATCGTCTTAGAGATCAGATGAAAGCGAAAATCTACGTCTGAAAATCAGACCATCAGACCAATTTGGTCTGATAACGAGAGAGCCCTGCGTACAACACAATGAGTGTGGCCGCAGCAGAAGTCTCCTCCTCACCACTGACTCAACTCATCTGTATTAACGGGAAATAGAACAAGAGGCGACGAAGTCGTCGTAGGGTTGCGGAGTTTTTCTTGATTCTACATATTTGTTCCATTACTGCATATTTGGTATACCGTATGGCCCCGGATATAAGCGCAGGCCTATTAAAAGCGCATGCGCTTGTATCTGGAGCAATGCGCTTATGGCCGATCCTCAATTATAAGCGCACCCCTTATAAAACCCTGATATATTATAAGCGCATGTGTAATTTTATTTATAATTCTTCATTAAAACGGTAACGAATCTCAGTTTTGCAGCGAGGCCACAACCCATTTTCGCTTACATTGACTTTCGAAGACCTCTCACATCCTGCGCGTCCAGTCAGCACGAGCTGGCACGCCCTCAAAGTGAGGTGTTACACTGTATTTTGCCTCTGGGCGCTCGCGAAGAATCGCCCGCGCGCGATTTTGACATGTGACTTTCTACAATTTCGATTTGATTGAAATCTGAAGGATGAGATGTACAATTTGGTGCATTGAAATATATATTTGTATTTGTTATATTATAAGCGCATGCGCTTATAATTTTTACTCAATTATAAGCGCACCCCCCAAAAAAACACTGTTTTATTATAAGCGCAGGTGCGCTTATATCCGGGGTAATACGGTAGTTGCATGATATTTACAAAAAGCATGGTCTATTGACACACTGTGTGGAAAAATTGTCAGCTGCAAGAATTGAACTCAAAACCTTAGCATTATCCGGTTAGCTTTCACTAACCATCTACATCTTCAGTTCTTTGCAAACTGCAATTATTTAGATTATTTAATGGCGACACATTGTGTACTGCTCAAGGGTTTGTCTAGTTTCTCTTTTAGCTCTCTTCTCTCATCCTCTTTTCCCAACCACCACAGCTGCCAATCTCTCCCGTCATCCCAGCTACTGGACTTGACTTCTTATTGTTACTCCAACTGCTAACTCACTCCTAGATTTCTCTTATCCATCTTTTAAGGTGAGCCTACCGTTATATTTGTGCTTCTTAAAGTTTCAGCTGAGACGTTCTTCTCTCTCTCTCTGTCTCCCTCGTTCTCTCAATCTCTCTGTCCTTGTTTTCCTCGGCTTTCTATTATAGTTCCCGTCTATGTCAAACATACTTGTATGATTATAATTGGGTAGGCTGTAGTGGGGTTAGCCTTAGAGGGTACAAAAACGACCTCGACACTCTAGTCTTGTACCCTAATCTCTACCTAATCCACTCACTCTTGCCTTAGTTCTTAACATGGTAACTAGAGCAGGAGGTCTCTAGGACCTAAGAATCGGGCCCACCTAACTGCCTGCCTTGCCTACTGCCCGCGCGCGCCTCGGCTGCAGCGCGCGTCATTTTTTTTTTTTTCGCGCGCGCGCGCCACTGTTTTTAGCGCGCGCCACTGCTGTAGCGCCGCGCGCCGGCCCGCGTCGCCCGCGCAGCCCGCGTAGAGCCCGCGCAGCCCGACGCTGCACGCAGCCCGCCGTCGCCCCGCGCGCCGCATCTGTCGCCAGCGCGGCCCGCCGCTGCGCCGCGTGTCACGTCGGCCGCCTGCGCGGCCCGCAGCTGCTTAGCGCGCTGCCTAAGGAGCTCGCGTGCGGCCGCTCCTGCCTGCTGCCTGCTGTCTCCTGCCTGCTGCCTGCTACCTCGGTCTTTGCTTGTGACCTGGTGCCTGCTGCCTCTTGTCTGCTGCCTCCTGCCTCTGCCTGCTGCTATTATGACGACGCCTAACGTTCTCGCGTTCGAGCCTGACGGTCGCCCCATAGAGTTCACTGTGTGGTTAGATGATCTCCAACTGTTCCTTCTGACCGATGCCAAAGAGGGCGTTTCACTGTTCGATTACGTGTCTGGCACTGCCGTTGCTCCTGCTACCGATGCTCCTGCTCTCGAACGCTCGCAATGGCAAACTCGTGATGTTGCTGCACGCCTAGCTATGAGGAACCATCTGCCGATTACTGAGCGCGCGCATTTCAGCCAGCACAAAACTGCTAAGAAGCTGTACGACGCTGTAGTTGCGCGCTACTCCTCCCCGGCCACTGCAGCCATAGGTCGGCTCAT